TGTTGCTCCACTGATGGGTAAATGCCACACTGTACACCTGAGACACGCCATCCATACGTTTTGTGGAGGCTTTGTCACCTAGGGGTTTCCTAAGAGGGCTGGTACCCCCATAGCTGCATGGTTTACTTCATGGAAAATCCGAAAAGAACATGGATGATTTGGGGGTATCCTCATTTTAGGAAACCTCTACACGTGTTAGTTACTTACTTAAGTGAGGCTTAGAAAATAGGTCAGTGACCCATAAAATTTAAATCTCAAGGCTGTCTGAAATGTCATATACCCTCTGGTAAACTAACATAGTTATGGAAAATCAGCATTTTTCATGGGAAAATCCACTATACAAATGGTATTAAATGGCAATTTTCAATAGCTACGTTAAATTTACCAATTCTGAACTTGCAGAATTTCAGTCTGCTTAGACATCTCTGCAGATCTGAAAGGGATATCCACCCTCTGCGCCCGAGGTCCGTACTGGCCCAACCTGTCACAACAAATTCAGTTGCTTTGATGAGGATTGGCGAACAAACCCTGTGATTGGTTTATAACAGCTGGCTTGAATGATACGAAACTCCCAAGTACAGAATGGTCTCTTGAGGATTTCTATGGTAGTCTTTAGTCATCCTTAGTCTTATTGTTTATACATAAGGTATGATATGGATTGATATGGTATGATGGTCGAATTGCCAATAAAAACGCCAAGTAGAACAAACAACCAAACTAAGGAGCAACCAAACACTGATGGCAACAAGTGAAGCATTTCCTGCAATGTAGATCAAGTTACATATGAGTGGCCACTGGAACTACAACAGCAAATACATACGTATGTATACAGTACATCATATCTGCAACATGCTTGCCTTATATGCATATGTAAAACGCAAGCACGATGATGGTATGCAATGCAACATATGTCAGAAATTGTTATGATGGTTGTCCGATGTCGTGTAACGAACTGTACATACGTACCGATTGTGTTCATAATCTGGGCTGGTCTGAAATAGGGTACTGTACTGCAATATACTGCAATTCCAATGGATTGATATCATGAGTACCAATAAAATGGCCATTTGGAGGATATACTCTTAGACAAATCCATCGTGGATGCTAGCCACAAGTACCACCCAATGGCAGGAACGGGGACAAAAACGGCACAGTTTCAGATCCAACAAAATGACCGTTTGATGCTTGTTTGTCCCAAGCGGCCATATCCAGCAAAAAATGAATATTGTAGGTTTAATAGTTGTCAGCCAGAATCTAATCTAGATTATTCTGGTGTCTGTTGATTGTTGATGATTGAATCCATTGTTTTTTGCCAACTTTTAGCAAGTCTGAAAGCGGGTGCAACACCAACATGGCCATTTTGATAAGGACAATGATGATAACAGGAATACATCAAGTTAGGGGGGTTCAGACAAACCAACATGATTTCTTCATAGAATATTTTATCAACTGTTATACCCGTTTAAACCATAAAATATTACCTTTGGCTTGCTAGTTGATGCTTGAATCACCTTAATAATCCCTAGTGGCGGCCCAAGGTTAACTAACTTGGCTTTGGAGATTATAGGGTCATTTGGCTTCATGGATCTTCATGGTCAATACATAGATGGGGCAAAGCAACAACCAACCACTTGGGGCTGCAGTGTGGCAACCATCGTTACAACCTCCAATGAGTTGGGATAGGCTAGTTTTTTTTTCATATGAACAAAAACATGGAAACATGCCGAATAAACATTATCTATTCTATCACCTAAACAGCTAAACATGACCATTTTCCATGGCGAAGAAAATAACCCTCTGGTAATGGCTGACAGTTTGCTATTGAAGCCATGGCCCATAGAAATAGTTGATTTACCTAGCTATAAGAAGGTGATTTTCCATGATTTTCCACTTCGCTATGTAAACGTTAGTTTACCAAAGGCTCCAGCACATTTGGAACTTCCGTTGCCACCACCTCCAGCACGGTGGTCTCGAGCTGTACGGCGACGGACTGTGTGACCTGAGCCCACGGCAGCCACGACTTCAGTGAAAGCGACGTGAAAATGAGGGGATTCCATGAGTTTCCATGTCTAACTACGAGGACGTATCATATTTCTCCTAGTTAGAAAAAGGGCATATGTAGCCCTAATATGCCCTGATAGTTATCATAGATCATCTATCCTTAATGCCCATTTATCTAGGACATATTCGGCCAATATTCTAATAACTATTGGGCCAATTGGGATATATGATGTAACCACTTGAGGTCAAGAGATCATGGAACTTAGAAAAACATGCTGGGATATGGTGGGATATGGACATATTGGCATACCTGCAAAGCTATCCATCTATATGCCAATAATAAGTAAAAGACATAGTAAACTTCAGTTTTGATCCCTTCCCCCTTCATATTAAAAAGAACCGATGGTGAAACACTCTTGGCCCTATTCACTAAGGGCACATAATACCTTTTACTATTAGGTTTCTGGGATTATAGGTGTAGTTCCTCCATTTTCAGACAACGTTAGCCAGACCCCAATACCATGAATGTATCCACAGTTATGGCCCGAAATACCAGTTTGAAACTGGCACGGACAAAATGCAGTGCAACGGACGTGCACTTTTCACCGCTTTGGCTTGAGCCACCGTCAAGGGTGGAACGAAAGATTCAACCACAGCACTGCATGACAGGGAAAAGACATGCAGTCATGACATGAAGCCACTCAGATTTCACACCCCTCTTTATTTTCTGGGGTTGAATCTGGTGGAAATTGCCATTCTACTTTCAGCTCACCTTTGTCAGTGAGATCATCTAATTGAGGTGCTTTCATGTGTTTCGTAAGGCCATCAGCAACCATGCTTCCAGTAGATATCCAGCGCACAATGGTGCTTCCATCTTTGGGCAATTCATCTGCATAGGTAGGGTTTCCAACAGACTCATTCGGATGGCGCCAAATCTCTTGACGAAGAGCACTGAGATCTATTGCTAAACGTTTGCAACTCACCTCGGTCATGTTTGGGTTACACAAATGATCTGAAAGTGAACGGCAATCTGTACACCAAATGCATTTCATATCATCCATAGCCTTCGTGTAGATCATGTTTTTCTTCACCTCGGTTGCCTTATTCTTTAAGTGGAACATGATCTGACGGACGTGTTCTGCATCTTCTGATCCTTGAAGCAAAGAAAGAGTCTCAGCTTGCAAAGTGGATCTACAAACGCGACGAATGGTGTTGCTATGCCAATCCAAGAGCATCACCTTTCCACATCCAGTCTGTTCAAACGAAGGATCTGCCAGTGCCAAAATTCTGCCGGACTGGGATCGATGTCCAGCTACACAATTCTTGCCAATGTTCTCGAAACTAGCTGCATGAGAGGCATCTGTGACACTGAGTAAAATTGAATTTTCAAAATCAAACGCTTTGGCTGGGTAAAAGATTCCTTTGTTTTTATCCTGCATGGAAAAACTCAAAAGTTTGTTGGCTTCAATCAAATGGCGAACTTGAGCTTTTTGCTGCACGGCTTGTAATTGATTCACAGCAAAACAAATGTCTGGTCTACAAATTCTGCCTAACCAACTCAAACTGCCAATGACTGAACGCAACTGACTAATCTCTGGCTGAGTTGCTGGTGCACTGAGCTGTTTTCGACGGAGAGGCTCCACGTAAGTCGCCTTGGTGCGATCCAAGACATTGGGACAAGAAACGTGGATGCCCTCTTTGGTCTGCTTGATTGTGCGACCACAGTACTTCAGCTCATCATCTTCAACCAATCTGAACTTGAACTTCTCTTGTACAATCATCATTGTTTTCTGCATTTCATCTGAGCCAACCCAGAGCAAATCATCAACGTGGCAACCAAGCAATCCGGCTATCTTGCCATTCTCGCCTGGAAGGTAATATGCAGAGGTCTCTCCTGGAACTGGAAGAAGTCCAGCTTGGAGAAGTGTATCATGAAGTGCCTTCCAAAAGCCACGTGGTGCATCTCTGGTTCCATACACTGATTTTCGAGCCACAAGCAAGCTGCCAGGGGCTATGGATGGATCAGGGATTCCATCCTTGGGAAGCCACAGAGCCAAGAGTCGCTGAATTGGCAATCCTTGCAAGAAAGCTGCGCTGATGTCTCCAGCTTTGAGGGGCAATCCCATGCAAGCAGCAAAGGCAATGATCAGGTTGACGAAAAGTTGGCTTGCTGTCGGACTGTCAGTTCTCACATTGCCATTCTTCTCTAAATGGCCAAGAGCTACCAAACGGCTTTTCAGTTGCATTGCTTCGCCAACTTCGGCTTTGTCTGTGTCTACCCATCTAGATGGTAGAACTTCAATTTCTGGATGATCCGTTAAGTATTGCTGAACTTTTTCAGGAGGGATCACATCAGTGGCATCAAACTGACGCCAGTTGTTCCATTCTTTCAATCTGCTCTTGTCAAGACCCTTTCGGATCTCTGGAGTCTCTTTGGCATAGTTCAGCTCACGATGTGGACCCAGCTTCTTCTTCTTCTTTTGAAATCGCTTGGCAAGGAAGCAACCAAAATTCTGCTGCTTCACACGCTCAATGGCTGAATGACCTTCTGCTGGTTCATCAGGAACTGGGATATTTCGAGCTTCACGCAAGGGAGATCTTGATCTTGGCCTCGCGAGTCCAGGAGGCTGAGCAGATCTGGGAATTCCATCCAATTGGTCTGGAGAATTTCGAAGAGCTTGTTGTAGAGGAGTAATTGCCGGAGTGGACGGCATCTCTTCAAGTTCAGGCTCTTCAGATACTACCACCGTATCAACATCAGAAGCAAGGTCTAGGACAGGAGTGGGCTCCTGGTCCGCAAGTGGAGATGTTGGAGTAGGAATGACATCATCGACCTCAGCAGGAAATGGAAGAGGTAGCTCAAGTTCAGGAATTGCTTCGAATTCCATCGATTCAAGTTGAGCTGGCTGTTCTGGAAAAGGAGTTTCTGGAATTCCACCTCCAGCACCAGGCATTTCCACAAAGCGCATCTGAGAATCATCATCACCTTTGCCCCATTGTTGTAATTGATAATCATCAGAAAAAGGTGTTGGTTCTTCCAACTCAGGGCGTTCTTCCAAAACTTCACGGAGACGTTTCCTTGAAGGTCTCAGCTCAAGGATTCGTTTGGTGAAAATCTCAGAGCTTGATGCTGGTCGAAGATTCGATTCAGCTGCCACCAGAGGAACTCCGCCATGCATGAGCCAAATGGCAGCTCTGCCATCTTTGCCAATGACTCTGGCTGGTCCGTGCCACTTTCCACGACGGTGAAAGCAGACTAGATCACCTTGAGAGTAAGGCCCACGAAGAGGCACACTCTTCCTGAGCAAGGCAGCTCTGACTCTTCTGCTTGCGTCAACTTTCGTAAAAGCTGACTTGGCGGCTTGACGTACTTGCAACCGAAAAGAAAACTCATCCTCTGGCTCAATGATATGTTCTTGAACTCCAAGATAACGGCCATCAGCCTCTTCTGAAGTCAAAGATGTTGGATCAACTGGAAGCTTGCCGAGGACCCATTGGTATGGAGTGAAGCCTTGGTGGTGAAGCTTCATATGTTTCACTACGCACATTTCTGAAACCAAGACTTTCATCTCCTTGATGCCAATGATCTGCCTCTCTTCAATGGCAGCATAGATCAAATCTTTGAAAAGAGAGCCTTGCCGTTCTCCTCGACCCAGTTGAAAAGGTGCTTCAACGCCAGTGTAGCGCAGGAAAATGCCGTTGATCCTTAGAAGATCTTTGAGTCGGCCTTGATTGTGCATTCCTCGATCACAAGTGATTGTGTTTGGAGGTCCAAATGGAGAAATCCATCCTTGTAGAAGAGCTTCAGCACAGACCGAACTTCTCGGCATACCTCCCGAAGCAACCCACCAGCATTGATGGAAAAGTGTTCCCAAACACACTGCTGATAAGATGGTGTGTCGATTGCCCGCTGAGTCACGAACTTCAAGAGCATCCAAGGCAATCTCATGGTTGAAGACAGGTTTGTTGGGCATCTTGGTAACATTGGGCCTTTGTACGGGTTGAGTCTTGCGGCAGGTCTCGCAAGCAAAGTGCTTGCAGCCCTCAATGACGGCAGGACTTGCTTGAGCAGTTCTCAAAAGTTGGATCATTGAAGCAGTTGTTCCATGCCCAGTCATATTGTGGAGTCGTCGAAGGGCTAATCTTGTTGACCTTGGAAGCCTCAGCCATTTCTTCCGTCTTTCATACTCAACTCCCATCTCTGGACCAACTACCAAGGGCCTCTCTTCCAAGCCTTCTTGTCTTTGAAGTTCTTCAGGGTTAAGGCGATCTGGAAGAAGATCACGGGGAAGAGCTTGATCTTGTTCATCTTGAATAAAGTCCATAGCTCCAAGATCAAGACCTGACTCCAAAGTTGACTCAGCCAGGTTCTCCGTGAAAAAGGCCGCACTGGTAGATCGATCTTCCAATTCTTCAAGGAAGCCATAGAGCATTGCTTCACAAAGAGCAGGTGGCCAAACTTGAGAGTGCTTAGTACGCTGACCACCTTCTAAAGGTTGGTGAGGATGATCTCCTTGACAAAGTAGTGAGAGATTTCTCTTCACAGGAGCGCTGGCCGTCAAAAACCCAGTTGGTTTCTTGTGCAAAAGTCCATTTCTCCGGTCATGAAGTCCAAACCGGCACTGATCCCCTCTCGGGTCTGAGGATCGAAGAGCTCCAAGTCCAAGAGCCTTCGAAAGGGCTGTGTTTCCCACAGCTCACTAGGCCAAGGGTTTTCAACCAAAACTTTTCGGCCGCGACTCAAACGCTCCTTCACCACCTTGGCAATCCACTTCAAAGTTGGATACCACAAGCTTCGAGCTCCCTCGATGATCTTCTCTTTGGTCGCACTGCTCTTGCTCATGTTCAAGTGAGACCATGGACCCCAAGGTCCACATACAGGGCTGAAGGTCAGGACGTAAGGATCCTTCTCGGCAATCTCTTTCTCAATGGAAGTGCGAACTGCACTGTTGAGCAAATCGCTGCCATCCATAGTCAAGTCCACTGGATTGGCAACTTCAAGTCCAAGGCTCATTGCCATTGAGGAAAGGATTGCAGCTCCAGCGAAGATCTCCATGAGGAAAACTTTGCAGCCCTTTGGCAGAACTCGAGTGGGAGATCGGCCTTTCAAAACTGACCAAAGGCTCATGTCGTTCGCCTTGACTTCTTCAACTTGCTCCTTCAACGCTTTCTTCTGGCCCCTTGTCATCACCTTGGTCACTTCTTGATCAAGCTGGAGAAAAGTCTCATTGGGGGTTTCATGCTCAAGACCAGGTGGTGGAGCCATAGACACTTCAGGCGTTGAGATTGGATTGGAAGAAGGCGTCTCATCAGGCTCTCCAGTAAATCCAAGGAGCGCAAGATGAGCAGGCAACAAATGCAAACCAACCAAGCCATTCATCTGGACGACTTCCAGATAACCACCAAGCTTCTTGCTGTAGACCTTGTCAGGTTCATCAGGCGAAAGTTCCATTTGAAGTTCCAATTTTCGTTGGTCTTGGATTGAGAGAAGCAAGGGAGCATCGCTGTTCTTGAGCTCAACACTGTCAATGGTTCCCACAGCGATGCCAGCATCATCCTTCAAGGAAAAACCCACTTGCAACCTTCTCGAACCCAAAGATTCGACTTGGCCATTGATGCCCTTGATGGAACTGCCTTCAGAGACAATGGGAAAGTCAGCTTCCTTTCCGTCAACAGCTTGGAGGTAGGGCTTCATCCAATTTGCACCATGGCAAGTGCGATTGCATCCACTGTCAAGGATTGCAATCATCCATTTCTCATTGCGGTTGACATCGTCATTGGGCTCGTCAACTTGCTGAGTCTCCTCACAAGCCATCAAGGCTCTAGGGCTGATCTTCTTGTTCTGGAAGTAGCGAGCCAGATTCTTGAGGCCGCGGCAGGAGCCTGCATTGACTTCTCTCAAAGCCCAGTTGACATAGGAATCGTCCTGAAAGGCACGAAGGAAGGTCTTACCCTTGTACTTGCCAAAGTCCACGATCCTGTCATCTTCAATCGCCGCAGATGTCAAGGAAGATGGATCCTGGGAGTTTCTGGATTCACCTTGGGGAGTTGTCATGGCTGGAGAAGAGGCCATTGGACTGTGGAACTCAGGTGACCTTAGTGGAGCGGTCGGAGCTCCAGTCATGTTGTTGGCCACTGCCTCCATGATGTCATGTAGTTCATGGAGCTGCAATCTGCCACCCTTCTCATCCATCTTGATAGCTGCAACCATAGTCATGGAACGAACCAACTCATGAAGGTCACGGCGATCAAATGCCATCTCAACAGAATTGGAACCACAAACGCTTGACTTCCCTGATCCCTTGGAGCCTTTCTGATCATCTTGCCAGCGACCTGAAGTGACGTGGCCACAGTCCACACAAGTCATCCTCCAGTGATATCCATTGGAACCTCGCCAGTGCACTCGTTGATGTTGGCAGGGTGGTCCAGTAGGTGGAGGTGCTGCTACTGGGTTTGCTTTCGGAGGAGCATTGTGCGTTCTCCTTTCTCGCTTCAAAACCCTCTTGCAATCCACACATGTTTCGAACGTGTAGAAATTGGAGCCTCTTCTGGTGATTCTAAGATGCTGGCAAGCAGGATCAGCACCAGGTGGTTCTTCAGGTTCTGGTGGAGGCGGATCAGATTCCGGTGGATCTTGGATGGCCATCTCGGAGTCCATTTCAACAAGGGTTCCCAAAGCCTGACTGACTAAGGGATTGGCCATCCAACTCTGAGGAGTGAAGCTGGCTGCCTGGGAAGGAGTCAATGTCGGCCCAGTCGAAGCATCAGGTAGTCCAAGGACATTCGGCTGCGTAGCCAAGAGATGCTCGAGCACATCATCAGCCTTCCATCCCATGTCATAGAACTCTTGAAGACCTGTCGGAGGTTGATTCATTGCTGGATTCCATGGCATACTTGGCAAGCTCGTTTCTGGCCGGGACGAAGAGCTCGGCATGGACGAAGAGCTCTGATTGGGTCCGGGCATTCTGGAAAATGATGACAAAGGCGGAACAGAGGTCATACTTGTGCTAGAGGTCATTCTTGGAGGAGTAGTTGGGTTGTGGCTTGACTCATCACCACGCTCAGACTCATGATGTACGGCCATGTTGCATTCAGGAGCTTCACCATCATGAGACCCATGCATGGCAAAGTAGACAACCCTAGTCTTCTCTCCGCTTTGACCTTTTCCAGCCTTCTTGCCAAAACTCTTGGAGGTAGAGGAGGAACCTGACGATTTGCCTTTTGAACTGCCTTTGGAAGATTTCGGGCACTGAGGGTCACCGCTCCAGTGACCACGTTGACCGCACTTCCTGCACTCCGCGCGATTCTTCAACTGCTGCAAACGGGCTTTCTTCTCCTGCATGGAAAGTTGGCCTGAAACCTCAAAATGGCGAGGAGCAGCAAAACCTTGAAGTCCCTTGCCCTTCGCCTGGTTCCTGACAAACATTGCTTCATACTCCAACTGCATTGCTTCTGCTGCCATGTTGCATGATTCTTCATCTTCCATGTTGAGGCCTTCATCTAAGTACATAGCCATGTGCTCTGCAAGGACCATGTCATACGATGTGGCTTCGTCATACTCAGCAACGTACCCTTCGAAATGGTCATTCTCAGGGTCATAGGACTCTTCAGTGAAGTTGGCAAAGGAGTGAGTTTCATCATCATCCCAATCGCCATCACCAAAGAAGGATCCGTTGCCTTTGAAAGACGACTGTTTCCATGGACGGTGACGTCCACGGCTGCCAAAGTTCTTACCCTTGCTATAGCCATGCTTCTCCTTCTCGTGGATCCTTGGGTGATGATTGAGCAATTCATCACACACCTTCTCCACAGTCATGTTGGACCCAACTGTGGTCCTCACCATCAACCGCTGATCTTCTGATATGTTGGCATTGACCCGGAGTTGTTCAGCAAGGATACCTTCTGATACTTGCATTGAGCCATCCAGCTGCTGCAAGTGATGCCACCATGCAGGTCTCCTCATGATGTATGATGACATTGGTTCACCATGTTGGCGACTGAGCAGTCCTCCATCCTTACTGCCAGCAGCATAGAGCTCACTTGCTTCCTGTGTCTTTCGGGGCTTCAGGCTCTTCTCAAACAGGGTCAAGAGGATCTCATGTCCTTCCGTACCTGCCAAAGCCTGCTGATCAACTTGTTGTGCTAGTCGTAGAGCTTGTCCTCTGAGGCCTTCAATCAGGCGAAGACCCAGGGGACCAAGCTTCGCCACCTCAGATTTCTCCATCAAAGACTCACGCTTCGCACGTGCTCTCACTCTGAAGCAGTACTCTTGTAGGGCTGCGGGTTCGCCTCCGAAGCGGGGAACTCCAAACTTGCCTTCCGCATTGAAGTCCTCAGCTCCATTGGCAAACTGATCATCTGGCTTGTATCGCAAACCATCCTAGATGCCAGCCATCACTAGCACCCTGGCGCTCAGGGGAAAACCCAAAGGTAGCTGTTGCCACCGAATCGAAACTCAGCAGCTCCGCTGCCAGTTTGAAACTGGCACGGACAAAATGCAGTGCAACGGACGTGCACTTTTCACCGCTTTGGCTTGAGCCACCGTCAAGGGTGGAACGAAAGATTCAACCACAGCACTGCATGACAGGGAAAAGACATGCAGTCATGACATGAAGCCACTCAGATTTCACACCAGTTATAAGTCGCTTATTTCCCTGTGTTTATGACGTGTACAACCCAATTTATAGCCATTTATAATTGGTAAAGAGCCAGAACCGCATTAAAACCCATTACCCTCTGGTAAACGTTTACATAACTATGGAAAATCACAATGTTATAGCTGGGTAAATCAACTATATACAGTATTTCTATGGTCATGTTCAATAGCTATGTTAGTTTACCAGAGGGTTTTTTCAATACAACATTACAACTGGGATTAACTAACCAACATTGACATAGATTAACCAACATCAACATACATTAACCAACTATATAGCTGGGAATGTCCCATCAACTTTCCCAACTTCTGCTGGTCATCCAGGGTCCGAGCCCGCATGGGCGACAAACGTTTAAGACGAACCTGGATGACAACTTGGGCATCCTATACCCCCACGTTATATATATATAAGTATCCCCAGATGGATGTGGCCTATATAGTGTGGTTGAATAATAATAATAGTAATACTAATAATAGTATATGTATAGTTATATTCACTGTATACTGAAATATCGCTTATGAACCACTTGACCCTTCCAAATGGAGAAGACGATCTTCCTCCTCTTCCTCTTTGATGGGCTCAGGGTTAAGGTCAGGTGGATGGTGTAGATCCTGTTACAATATCATTGCCAGATCATTGCCAAGTCTAAAATATAGCTTGATGTATATATCGTGCTCGAATACCAGCATTGCCAAGTCATACATTGATACAATATGTCATATGTCATTATCCATATAGTTTTTATATGTTTTTATGATCCAGTAGTAATAATACAAGTCAATCATGTTGTTTTTCCGGAATTATACATTCATCCACCCGTAGGAGAGTGCCGGACATGTTTCCCTTCAGAACATGGATTCGGTCCGTTCAGGCTGGCCATCTTTGAAGACGAGGGTAAAAAATCACATGAACATGATATATTCCATTGAAACCCATGACATTCCCATTATGTGTATATTGTATATATATATATATATTCCCATTATATTCCCACTATATTCCCATTATATTTCATTAAAACCCATATATGTGTGTGTATATATATATGTTGCTTCAAACGACATGTTTTTTATTTACCAAGCCAGGCACTGCTTTCCCCAATTTGGTCATGTCCCCTGCCGCCTTGCCAGGAGGAAGTTCCGTGGCTGGCTGTACAGGTATGGTGCCTGGGGACATCCGCTATCCAATGTGGTGTCGGAAAATGGGGCTGTACCCTATCCAATTATATTAGGATAGGATCCATGTATGGTATATATGCTAACATTGGGGGTATATTGATGGGATCCATGTTACCATATATACCATACATGGATCCTATGGGATTATATGGATAGTTGTGAAAACACCCTCTCCAAAATCTACAGTATGTACCCGAAAAAAAGCGAACAAAAATGTTACGGAAACATCTGGAAACAATGTATGGAACAATGGTTAGATATGATTAGATTAAGCCATGGACTTGGAGTTCCATTTCAGACAAATCTACATGGTACTTTTCAAAAACTTGAAATGGTGGCCATTTTTTGGGGCAAGTTTCACCAACTGTACGGCCGACCAAATCTTGGAGGTGTCCATTTCTACCCGTGGCTAGGCTGTTCATGCCAGGAAGAACCAGTGACCGCATGGGTTGAGAATAAGCAAGTGAAGTTAGTTGATAGTAAATCACAAAAAGAATCACTAGTCTGGGGGTTGATAATGGATACGACAAGGTTGTTACATGTTCTTACTATTCAACAGTTCAAAAGTAAAAGCGATGTTATTGGGATGTGTTCACTTTTCTCATAGACATATTGGTTGATGCTTCGTTTGACTGAGTGCCAAACATAAATGAAGAACTGCGCCACCCTTTGATGAGTCCTGACCAACGAACCGCGGGCTGGCGTGCTGACACACCAAAACTTCTATTCTATATAAGTGTAACAGCAACAATTTTCAGGATGATATCCAACAAGTCTGCATGCGCAATCAAGAAACATGAGAATTAATTCTTCATGTGTCCTTATCGGACATGTGGACCTCACTAGCCCATCACTCCATGGATGTGTAAAAAACAACAAATGGCATGACAACCAAATCTCCCAATTCGCTCCTTAGCCGCCTTGGCGGCCTGTTGCCATTCGTCAAAGAGATCTTCCACCATCCTATTGGCGGAATGGCGGATTTCTGCCATTCAAAATGGGGATTCAATGGGATAAAAATAATAATAATGCCATGGGATATATACACTATATGTGTATATATATATATGTAGCTTTATCAGCGGTTCAGCACCCACGAAGTTGCTGCAAAAGGTTCAGTCAGGCAAGCGCACGAAGTCAGCCTGTTTTCGAAGCCATCGCTCTTGGTTGTTTACCCACCCACCTGGCAAAGGGCATTTGACCCAAAGGTGGTGGTCACGGACATATACCTGGCAGGCAAGTTGGTGCATGACAGGCGGTTTCAGTATATACCTGGCAGGCAAGTTGGTGCATGACAGGTGGTTTCAGTTGCAAACTGCCCGGAGGGCAAGTTGGTAAACTGACACGGGCAGTTGTTAAAAAGAGCCTCATGTGTCAGGTGAAAAGAAAAATTGCTCTCTCACAGAATCTTCGGCATCATCGTCCAGTGAAAGCTCGGTCTGTCACCATGTTTCGGTCTCTCGCACAGCAGTACTCACAATGGTCGTGCTCTTGCACCATGTGAGCTCGGTTTAGCTCGATGATGGGGCACTCAGGGTCGATGTGCCACAGTGAGCCGTCCAGTGTCGGCTGCACAAGGACTGTGTCGCCAAGCGGGCACGGAGCTTGGTGGTTGGCTATCAGGCTTCGAAGTCTATCGGTTCTTGCTTGTAGAAACCGAATTGCTTCGATTTGAGAGGCCAGCATAATCGCCATCACGTTGGCGTTGCGTCTTGTTTCTTCCAGTTCATTCGCGATCTCGTTGCGGCGGCCAGCCACATCATAGCATCGACACCGAAGTCGGCGAATCAAATCCGCCTGTTCTGCACCTTCTCGTTGGAGTTGGTCCACGTGGGCATAGGCAAGGTCCATTGCCTGTTGCAGGCGCAGTCGCTCGTATCGAGCACCAAGCCAAGGTCCAAGGAGGAGGCAAAGGAGCATCATCGCCAAAATGGCGAAAATCCAAATTCCGCTCTGTCCATGTTCATGGTCCGGAGCTGCATGCATTGCAGAGGTCGTAGGCAACCAGGTCAGCGCCGCGATGACATACTTTATCACCTTGGCATTCTTTGGGGTTGCTACGTAGGCCTCGACAGGCTCATAGGGCTCGACATGAGTGTCGTCATACACAGGTTCATAGGTCTCTTCATTCATGTCTTCATCCTCCATCGTGTAGAGCTCGGCAGGGTCCTCAGGGATCTGCAGCTCATAGTTTCCATCATCCATGCGTTCATGTTGTGGTTGTGTTGTAGGTGAAGGTGAGGTGAGAGGTTGAGAGTGAGGTTGATGTTGATTGGATTCCTTCCCTTTCGCAAACTCATTGCGGCTTGCTTCTCTTTCTGCAGCATCTTTGCGTTTCGCGCTAGTGTAGTATGGGTCCCACACCAGCTTCTGTCGATGATGTCGAAGTCGGTCAGCCAGCAAAGTTCTGGTAGAACTCTTTGTCAAACCATCAGCGAACTGCTTTTCGCTGCTCATCCATTTCAAAACACCACCCAAAGCTTGTAGTTGTTCTTTTCCAACTCGTATCTCCAGAGACGTCCTTTTGTCAACGGACGAAGAGCCAGTCAGACCTTCTTTGTTGTAGCTGTCATAGAGGGCTTTGGCATCGGTAATCATGACGGGCTCAAGGTCAGATCGTTGGTCCAGACATTCTTTCAGCTTTGAAGGAGGGTTGAAGAGGCAAGTCCAATATCGGCAAATGAACTCTACCATATCCGCTGTTTGGCCAAAAGCTTGAGCTTCGGCACTTAGACTTGACCTTGCCACTCTGGGGAGTTTGAAGCTGCGCCACTCTATCAAGTGGTAGGATGTCTCCTTCTCAAAGATCTTCTTGGGCACGACGAAGATCAGGTAGCCACCCTGAGACGTGGCATCTTCTCGGACTCCATGGGCAGCATCAAACATTGCACAGAGCCTTAAGTCGGCAAGTGAGTCAATGTCCAGGGGTTCATAGTTGAGCTTGACATCGCTATTTTGTTTTGCAAAGCGCAGCAGTTGGTTGGCTTCAATCACCGCACGTAGTTTTCCCGTCTTCTGCTGACCACTAATAAGGCTTGCAGAACACTGTAAGTGCGGTGCAGTCTGCACGGCAGGCCATTGCAGTGAGCCAAGGAGAGCTCGAAGTTGTGACCTGTCATGGTCGTTCATCTCATCTTCGGCCGTACGGCCTTTGTGTATGGTCACGGGCTTGACCTTCTGGATGTAGTCATGTTGATTGACCTTCCAGCAATGGTCATGCCTTTCAAGCTTCACACCACAGTACTCCAGGGTCTTCTCATCAGTCTCGAAGGTCCTGAAGTCAAAGGCTTTCTTCAAGGCAGTCTCGGCATCCACATAGATTTTGGAGTTTGGATCTCCGGCAGCAAGCATGTCATCAACGTGAAGACACAGCATCCCCACAAGCGTTGGGCTTGACTCCTTCTTGAAGTCGTAGAGGCAAAAACAGCAAGGGTCAAGCGCATGTTGTTGCCATCCAAGGCTTTTCAGTCGGCGGACGGCTTCCAAAAACCATCTCCTAGGAGCATCAAGTTGGCCATAAACTGGCTTTCGTAGATACATTCTTGTGTTGGCGGTGGCTCCAAGGATCTGCAGGGCTTCGTTGGGAAGCTTTAGCCATAGTTTTCGTTCTTGTGGTAGGCCTTGAAGGAAGGCAGTGCTAACATCTGCAGACCATGCTCGCCATCGCAAGTTGGCGGAAACAGAGAGCAGCAGGGATCTTGAAAGTCGGCTGGTGGTTGGTGACGCTGTTTCCAAGTTGCCCATGAGCGCGTCCACATCGTTGAACCCACGCACCACAAGTCGTGCTTTTGCACGAGGGCTACCATCAGCATTGCGACTCCATTTCAAAAGAATCCTGCTTGTAAGTGTTCTCTCTGGTGTGGCTTCTTCTGCAGTGCTAAACTCCCAAACGCCACATTCAAAAAAGCTGCGAAGTTCTTTCACCTTCGCTTGGTGGAACATTTCTCTTTCAGTTTGGTTCAGGTGCTTTTCTACCACTTCGCCTTTGTTCTTGGCCATCTTGGTGACATCTCGACGTTGTTGTCTTTGATGTTGGTTCTTGAGGCCTTGGGCGACCGTCTTCGCATTCTGAACGTGGTAACAGTGGTTGCTGTCGCTGGAAAACATGTTGAGTTCTTTTCTGGTTTCTGCATTGAGTTGAAAAACTGTGATACCCTTCCATGTAGTTGGCAATTGATGCTGCCGCAGGTCTTTGTCATGATGCTGAGGATTTCTGAAGTCATCCGTGAAGGTCTTGGCACTGCCGTCACGGTCAAAGTGAATGGTGACTCTGACGTTGTCAAGCTTGTCAAGAGGAACTGGGATGTCTGAGATGCCAGCTGGGTCAAAGAGAGTGCGCCGTTGGTGACAGTGATGTCGAAGGAGGCATCCAGCTTTCAGCTCCCAGAAATCACGTACTCGGGCACCTTCACGCAGCTCAAAGTAGCCAGTCTCAGGCTTGAAGCACCAGTCACCAGGCAGTGACTCTTGTTCCATGTCCTCCACATTGAAAGCCATGTTGGCAGCAGCATCATCATCGCCACATGCAGGACGATCATATGGTGTAGCTCCATGTGAGCTTTGAAGTTGTGGCCTGCGGGGTCCAAAAGACAAAATTTCTTGGCGGTCAACTCGTGCTCGTCGTTGCTCAAAAGTCTCTTGTTGTGGAACTTGAAATCTCTCAGCAGTTGCAGGGTCTAAAGCTTGACCAGTTGCTGGTGTTGGAGGAAAAACTTCTGCTGAGGGCTCCACTTCGTCGTTGTTGTTGATTGGCAACGTTGGAGGTAGAGGAGGTTCATCAGCCATTGGAGCTGGTGGTCCCATAAGTCCAGGGGACGGAGAAAGTCCATCATGTTGTCCCAAAAGTCCAGGGGACGAAGGTGATCCTTCTGGCAGTCCCATAAGTCCAGGGGACGGGTGATGACCATCATCAGGAGGTCGATCATCATCACGAGGACCATCATCGGCAATTGATGGCTCGTAGTCATCATCACCTTCAGCTCCATCTTGAAGTTCAGCAAGTCGACGACGTTTGGCCTCAGGCACATAGTCATCGGCCTCGTGGTCGGAGATCATCTCTTCATCTTCATTGATGTCGTCAATGTGTTGACGATTCAAGCGGTTCAAGTCCAGGAACCTTGTCACGCCACGAGACTTGACTTGTCGTAGAACTTCTTTGGCTTCAAGAAGATTGTCCACCACGTTGTTGGAGATCTGTCGGAAATCAGGGCGGCAATGGTGAGGAGCACAACGCAGGAGTTGGGTCTTGTGGCAAATCCAGTAGGTTGAAGCATTGCCTTGCTCATCATCCTCAACCATGAGAACCTTGGCTGGTCCTCGCCATCTGATTTTGACAAGGTCTGCTTGTTGAGCATCACGCCAGTAAAAACATGTCTGACCAACAGCAAGTCGTATGTTGGCGCCGGCATATCTTCTGAGAAGAGCACGGCGAAGTCGATGGTCAGTGTCAGCTTGTTGAAGGGCTGACTTGGCTGCATTGCGACGCATCAAAGCATCTTCAAAGGAGTGGCCTCCGGCTAAGTGCACAGGGGTGATCTGGTCAGAAGTCAAAAGTCCATTGACCTGTGGTTGATACCCCAAAAGCCATTGTGAAGGGCTGTAGCCGGAAACTGTGGGCTGAGCATTTTGTTGCGGCACTATGTAGGTCAGAGCAGACCTGATGCCATCAGCTCCATGAAGTTGTAGATCTTGCATGTAGACCTCAATGCTCTTTCGTAGAACCGCATGTCGCCGTTCCACAAGACTCAGTCGGGTGTGAGCTTCTCCAGGAGCAACATCATGATGGATCGAGTGCTCATCAGTCCACAAAGCCATTGGGTCTGAAAGCCATCCCCTGCCTTCATCGGTGACAAGGGTTTCAGGTGGCCCAAAATGGGCAATCCAGCATCTTTCCAAACCAGCTATCAAGTTGGAGGTTTTCTCATCAGGCACCAAGGTTGCAGTCTGGTACTTGGTGGCAGAGTCAACGCATGAAAGAACCGCAAACTTCTTGTCACCATCTTTGATCCAAAAGACATCAGCTTGAAGTCGTTGGTTAAAGTGGTCGCTTTTGGCCAAAGTAGATGGTGCAGTTTGATTGGGTTTCTTGTAGCGCTGACATGCTGAGCAAACATAGGAACCAGCAACTTGTAAAACATCAGGGCTTGCACCTCTGGAGCTCAAAAGTTCAACCAAAGATGCCGTTGAAGGGTGTCCAAGGTTTCTGTGGAGCTTCTGCACAACTCGAAGGGCTGCAGGCTTGCCTTCGACATGGAGTTCCACGAGCTTGCCAACGTGCTCGGTGATCTCTTGCACGGCATAGCCATGTTCCCAGTTGTGTGGGGCTTCAGGTGTTGCCATAGCTGCCGCAAGAGTTGATGCCATAGCGGGTTGGTAGTTTTCCATGTAGGTTGTGCGATGCACTTGAAATCCACGAAGTGAACCTTCAAGACGGCAATGTTGATGATCTCCAGGGCATTGTCGATTCATGGCTTGGGCCACGGCCAGCTTTGTCGTCAAAAGAGTTGTGTCCTTTCGGACTGGCAGCCATTGCTCGTTGTCGTTCTTGCACATAGCGCCATACTGGCATTGGCTGAACTTGGCACGGTGACCTGGCAAAGTTGACAATGCGCTGGTGCGCCATGACAAAGCAGGTGTTGGTTGTTCCACGTGTGCATGTCGGCCTTCGTTGACCTGCTTCAAGTAGATCCTTCTGCAAAAACGCAGATGAACTCTGTGATGACAATCTCGTAGTTGTTGAAGTTGTTCTTGACGCTGCGGCGTCTTGGCATTGATATTCTGCATTGGAGACCAAGGTCCACAAGTGGGCGATAGAAACACTTCTTCAGGTTGGTGTTCATCCAGCAGCTTCATGAACTCGCGCTGGTGGGATTTGTAGGAGAAGTTCCAACCATTGTTGAGGCCGAAGTGCTGCGCATCCATGCCCAGGGAGGTGGCAATCTTGGTCATACGGCTCTCGCCACAGTAGACTTCCCACAGTTGCCTTGGTTGACGAAAGTCCATGTCGCGCAAGGTCTGTGAGATGTAGGCTTCTGCTGCATTGAGTTGGGTCAGCACTGAGGTGTCTAAGGACTTCAGCTGCTTGGTCTTGAGGACGTTGGAGCCTTCAGGAATGACTGCATCCTCAGTCACATAGATCTCTTCAGACTCCTTGAACTCGTCCAAGTTAAAGTCAGGGCCCTTCTCATCTTCAAGCACCAAGTCAAACTCAGGGTTGTTGATGTCGATGGAAGGGTCGTAGTCCTCAGTCAGAGGTAGCAGGTATTCCATGTGTCTGCCCGAAGTTGCAGCACGCCATTCACCATCATTGTATCGCAGTCGATCGTTGAGGAAGTCCACAGTCAGTCCAATTGCTTTGGCAATGGGGCGGCCAAGCAACATGGGTGTTTCCCCTCGAAGTACAAAGGCTTGGACCAGACCAAACTTGTTGTTGAGGTAGATCGGCAAGTGGACTGTCCAGTTGCTGACAGCCTTGTGATCGCCGCCAAAGTGAAAGGTGCGATCTGCCTTCTTGAACTTGATCTGGTTGATCGGAAATCCAAGCTTGCCCAGGTGCTCGAGGTATCGCATCAACGGTCCCATGCCCATGAGGAAGGACGAAGCTCCAGGGTCCATCATCGCACAGTCAGGTCGTTCAGCACCTGTGGAATCTTCAAACATCACCATGCCGCCTTCAAGTTGGAAGGCCATGCTCTCCACAGCTTGGCGTTTCGCAGCATTGCCAGCTGGTGCTGCCTTTGGAGTTGCTTTGGAACCCTGAGTGCAGTTGGCCGTCGTATGGGACGACGATCCACAACGCAGACATGGGGCGTGAAGAGCAGCTTGAGCACGTCCTCGAGGATCAGGTGTTTTCATAGGTGGCCGTGGCGGCCTGAAGTTGTTCTTGCCCTTCCCCTTTGACTTACCTTTCTTGCCCTTGCCCTTGTTGGACTGCAGCGGCATCTGAGTTGGTGACACACCCGAAGAAGAGGCTGTAGGGTCCAAGGCGACCACAGGGAGAAATCCGCGGGCCATTCGCAAGTCATTGAATCTCTTCCGGGCATCAAGGTATGAGGCATAGCAGGAGTCGTACTCGGCGACGTCGAACTCATAGTCCAGCGTAGGATCATGGTTGCCAGCATCATCTTCGTAGTACGCCGCATCATAGTCAAACTCATAGTCCTGCCAGTTGGTGTCGTCCTCGTCATACTCATAGTACCCATAGTCATCTTCATCCCAGTCGGCCCAGTCATCAGCGACGGACTCCACGGTCTCATCATCAGCGCAGTAACCACGACCTTTTCCAGAAGATCGCATAGACCATCGGGAGTTGGGAATTCCATGGCCACTCTTGTAGTCCTGACCCAAGATGGCAAACATCGACTCTTGGATCTTGGTTCTTTTCAGCGTGTTGGCCTGGGTCATCACCATCTGTTTCTGTTCTCGGCTGAGATTGGCACGGTTGAGCAAGTACCAACCTTGAACTTCAGGAGGAAGGACAACCTTGTGCTTCTCCAGGCGTCTCAGCTTTTCGTCATGCTCCGTCACAAACTGAAGCAAGGATTGGCCGGGACGTCGGCCTGCAGAGTCAAAGTAGGCCGTGAAGTCGGCTGGCATCTCAACTTTGTTGTCATACTGGAAGGCTGCATCGAGCTGTTTGAGGATATTCTCAAAGGCTTCAGGGTCGTTCACCTTGTTCAGGTCAAAGTCTTCGACGATCCTCCAAGCAGTGCCTTGGAGTGATCCTAACAGGTTCAACACAGCTTCTTGGGTTCTTTTCGAAAGCTCCATCTTCTTTGCGTAGATCACTATCCGCTTTCGCCATTCTCGGTAACCAGTGGTGGTACCATCAAAGGTCGGGATGAAACTGTCCCGAAGGCTTTGGGTATCCAGCTCAGTTCCAGTCTTTCCAGAACTCGAAGTTGTCATAGTGCTCGTTAAGAGCGTGCAGCTCGAGCAACAGGTAGAGGAAGTTCCCCTTGAAGGAATCCAGGGTGAGGTTGGAGGTTATGATGAAGGTTAGAGGTTGTAGTTGGAGTAGCGCAGTGGTTGGAACGCAAACAGGCGCTCCGCTACCAATGTAGCCTTATCAGCGGTTCAGCACCCACGAAGTTGCTGCAAAAGGTTCAGTCAGGCAAGCGCACGAAGTCAGCCTGTTTTCGAAGCCATCGCTCTTGGTTGTTTACCCACCCACCTGGCAAAGGGCATTTGACCCAAAGGTGGTGGTCACGGACATATACCTGGCAGGCAAGTTGGTGCATGACAGGTGGTTTCAGTATATACCTGGCAGGCAAGTTGGTGCATGACAGGTGGTTTCAGTTGCAAACTGCCCGGAGGGCAAGTTGGTAAACTGACAATATATTTAAAACCAACTATACCCTCTGGTAATCAAACAGTTTGCTATGAAAGCTATGGCCCATCTAGTTTCATGATTTTACCTCTGAAAATGGGATGGATAGTTCGATCCTTCATATTTATTACTCTCCAAGCTGGTACCAAGATGTGTACCCAAACAAATCTCTGCAACACTATGATATGATGTAGTCCCTTGATTCCATCCGCATATCTTCATATTTCATCATATTTCATCATATTTCACCCTTCCTGCAGAATCATCATTTTTTGCTGGCCATTCCCATCCGCTTCCCATCTCAGGTCAGGCCTCACGTCGCATTTCCGACGTTGCCAACGATCGAAGGCTTCATTCTCGCGGATCAGCCAGTTCAAGCCTGCCGAATCGGCTCCAAAAATGGCGTACCTCTCGTTATGAAAATAAGGGAGGGTGATGAGATGGGGTAGCAACAACAAGTGGTTGAATACATATACTGTACACAGTTGTGCATCTATACTTCGATGTAAGTGTATAATATATATATATATATATATATGTATATATACAGCAACCATATGGTTTATGTATAATTATCTCTACATATGATTCTATATATATACACATATATACATATATATATATACATACATACATATATATATATATATACACATACATACATACATACATACATACATACATACATACATACATACATACATACATACATACATACATACATACATACATACATACATACATACATACATACATATATACGTACAGTACAGTTCATATGCAGTAATCATACGCGTAAAACATGGATTGGTAGTCATGGGTTAAGTTAGTTGCAAACATTGAATGTGTGTGTATGTATATATATATACACGATTATACATGTACATGACATGTCATGTGGTTGTCTTCAAAAATGAAATATTGTCACTGCGCATTATTCACGATGTTTGGTCGCCAACCAACGCCGGTTCTAAGAAGCGAAGAACAGGATCGATCCACCCCAGCTAGCATGGCAAGATCACGACTCCCAGCAAGCTCGAACACACAAAATCTGACACAAATGTTCACCCCACCTGAGCCAGGTTTCATTGAAGAAAAAAACCCTTCACTCACTGAAATCCAGATTTGATTGCTAAACTGCAAAAACCACAGGTTATGAAATCCACATTTGGTTGCTACACTGCAAAACCACCAGTAAAACATCTTGCTGATAAAATTGAACCCTTCTCAACCACCCTAACCCCAAGACCACACGCATGACCTGCCAGTGGTTGGCCGACATGATGTAAGCCTTTGCGGCGAACCAGCACAGAGGCCCATCGAAAACATATGTCACCAGAAAACATCGATTTTGCATCTGTTGAATACGCCTGAAAATCACATTTTATGGCAAATACATGGGAAATATCGCGTTCATAAATAAAACATATATCAAAAACTGGACCTCCTCATCATCCCTAAAAGCCCAGCAACAGAGCCGATCCAACGTCGCAAGGAATTGCTGCTCGGAGTCCGCCTGACTTGGGAAGCCAAAACGGCAGGGTCAATATTTATAGCTTGGTATAATGGGATACAAATATAGTATGGGATGTATACAATATATTTAATGTGATATTTAACATAGTATAGTATAGTATGGGATATATATATATATATGTAATATTATGTAATGTGCACACACACACACTTGAATTTGCTTAAAGACCCACCCACCAAAAAAATACTATATATTACACAAGTATTAGAATTTTCAATTTAGAAAATAGGCAAACCATCTTCAGCAAATCCACGCATATACATGCGACTATCTGTCGTCATACATTCATATAAACGGCGAAACAAAGAATCCCATGCCCCCCTACAAGGGGCGGTGAATTACAACCCTTAAAGAGTAGATAGTTACTTTTCTATCTTTTTGGGTGCTAGATGTTACCAATCTTCAATGGTCTGGGCTAGTATATCAGAGTTGCTCCCAACACCCCAAGAACAAGGGTCTAATTGCATGAATCAACAGGAAAACACCACAATTGTTGCTGCCTTGTGGCTATCGTGTAATTACCTATAATAGGTTGCAGCCATCCTAGAATATGCCATATAATAAAGGATGTTTGGTTGATGATTGCTATATATGTTGTCACCATTCAATGGGACAATCATGGGAATGTCATGAATATATAATGACATAAAATATGAATAATACCTCCCATATGGCCCCCAAACATGAAAACAAATCAAATACTAAAGCAGCATTTCGCGGGGGGATATTGGGGGAAGCATGTGAAAGGATGACAATTGGGAAACTCACCTGAGAAAAGTACAATTCATCATAGTGAAAAAACTCTGAACAAATGGCATTTCACCTGGCCATCACGGCAAAAGCATGGAGCATATATATATATATATATAAATATGTATATATATATATATGTATAAATATAGATATATATATACAATAAGCAAAAATGGTAGATCTTTGGGGTGGGTACCACACATATATATATATATATGTACGTATATAATTACATATTAATATACTGTATATTGTACATCAAATATATGGATATGTCCCAAAACAGAGCAACCCCCCAATTTCATCCCATGCTTTGCAGTTCGCCGTTTACGGCTTAATCTTGATGGGTTCATTCCCGCTTTCCAGTGATCAAGATTCAGACCATCTGGTAATTTAACATAGCTATTGAAAATTGCACATTTATAGTTGATTTATCTATTAAAGATGGTGATTTTCTATAGCTATTTTAGTTTACCAGTGGATATCCACAGTCTCTGGCCCGACATTTCAGTCTCAGTGAAGGACAAGATTTGTGGAATAAAACGTTGCTTTCTTGGGCTTTAACTGTCATAACATGTTCATATATCTTCTCGAGTGATCAGGATTTCCAGGTATGCTCCAAAAAAAATCATGTATGTTCCATATATGTGCATACAACATTCCATCTGTTAAACATATGTTCCATAAATTTTCATATATGTTCCATACATTTTTTCTCATATGAAAATATATGGAACATCCATGGAAAACACATGAACATATGTCTGGAATTTATAAAAATATGTTCTCATTACATAGGCCTTACATAGGCCTTATATATGGTAGGTACCTCCAATCAATCGGTTCCTGAGTCATGGCCATTGAATATCTGTCGCGCCTCCAAGGGACAGCGGAAGCGCCACTCCTCCTTGCCATCCACGGGGCTCAGGATTCGGACCTGGGAGCGAATTTGAAAAAAAATGTGGGGATGCTTCCTCTGATTAAAATCAGATTATAATCTATCTGAGGATATAGAAACAGTATATCCCCACAAATTGAACATTATACTATCTGGATACTATCTGAATATTGGGATTATTCCCCTGACTATGATTACATACCATGACTACATTATTTTTTTATTGGGAATTATGATGATTACATGAATTATGATGATACGCTATGGGGATATAACCCGTTGAATTTGAACATAGAATATTCTATTGCACATGGGATCCCAGTATATATATATATATGGAATTATTTTCCATAGTAATATCAAGGAATATTCCCAGTAATATCAATTACATGTTGTTTTTTTTTGTGATAGAACATTATATCATATCCCTTTTATATACAATTTATTAATGTATTTTTATCATAGTATAATCCATATTATCCCATTATAATAATCCCCAGGTAGATTGTACTGAACATTAGGGGATTTATCTACAGTATTTCATCTATTGAATCTATGAAACATTACGGGATTATTGAACATGGGGATTATATCTGAATACTATCTGAATATCTAGCTGAATATCTATACTGCATTATACTATCTGAATATTATAAATCCCATTATACTATCTGAATACTACCTGAATATCTACATGGGAATTGTAAAAGCTATGGGAATTATGTCATTGTACTGATGGGGGTGAAATATTGAACATTGGGATATTAAAGAACAAATGAAAATGTAATTTCATGACACATGTGATTTACAATGATGCACACACGACTTCACATGTGATATAACATGATTCAACTAAGCAATCATAAAGTCATAGAAACATGTGGGGCGCATCAAAGATACTCTGGTAATCTCAATCGACATGTTTCATGGGTCCATTATATGGGTGATGTCCCATTGTCATGTCTGGTGAGTGTATGATATGTCGGTCGTCTTGGGCAGATGCCACAAAAGATCCTTGTGGTGGGCACGGTTCCTACAAACTTCAGATGGATTCTCCTATGAGAAACATCAAGAAATAGGCATAGAAGTGACATTGAAACAGATGCACCAAGAATCAGCAATATCTGGCTGATTTGTTAGGCTGGAATGCCCCAGAATGTATGGTTTGCCTTTTCCAAAGTCAACAATCAACACTATATACTGTACACTTTTATTAAATGCGCTATACACATGGCTCTGGTTCAAACAGTTGAATTCATGCCACTGGAAATGTTAGCTGTTTTGATGAAGTTGAAGCTAGTACATAAATTTGTTACCAAAAACCACCCATAGTTGACGGAGCTGGGCTCTTTAGCGGCTCTTTGCTCAGGAATATGTTGATATTCACCCTGGCTGAAAGACACTTTTCCGAATTGACGCCAACCTCCTTCACTATCTTTTTCGGCCACGTGTGACCTGTTTTTGGATGGCTAGGCCTCCATTTTATGGAATCAACATCCATTGAAATCCTGCAAATTCCGGGTCGCAGATGCATATGTAGAGATGCATCATTATTATTATTAGTATTGATTGATTGTTACTATTATATATTATTGTGTTTTCTTTTAAGTTGACATTATCATTATCACTATCATTATTACTAGTATTACTACTATTTACTGTACACATGGTTGGTATCGTATAACCCTAAAATGACATATGACCCCAAACAAAACGGCAATGATGGCAACATGCCGAGAGCCCGCGCTAGCAAAGTGTCCTTGTCACAAGGGCACTCCTGAAACTAACGGGTCCCGGAAGGTGGAAGAACAGGATAAAATTGTGAGCACCCTTGATCAATGAATATCAATCAATTACTGATTGCTAATGTGACCTTACTTTACATGATTATAAGATATATATATATATGGTAATACATATATATATACATATAAGTATTTGAGTAGTCGATGAGTATATACTCAGTTGGTTCTTACTTTTGTTTTTTGAAACATCTTCAACAACCGGGGCTGTTATATCATATCTGTTCTCATCAGTTTTTTTTTGGTTGTCAATGGGATTCCACGTAAGAACTAACAACCTATTGATTGTCAAACATGTGGTATTCCTCCGGCATGGATCAAAACCCTGCTGGTCCAAGAGTTGCTGGTACCAGGCATTCACCCAATACAATTGGGTGCCAGATTATGCCTGAAAATCTTCATCACAACCCTTTGGGTTTGCGTGTTTTAAGCTTCGGAAAAACACCACAGTTCATCGTTCATCAGAGTCATGGCTGGCCTTCAAACTTGGTCGAACCAACTAGCGGGGCAACAGTGGAAGCGGGCCAATGGATGGTGGCAATCTTTTATGTGTCAATACATGAAAGAGACCATTTTTTCGGTCCGTTGCCATCCTTCCATTGTAACCCTGCTAGTTGTTTTTTTCTGGAACAAAGTTTGTCAATTTCACTGGATGTCCGTTCCCTCAATCACCGCATGCACCTCACCAGGTGTTGAAGCCTACAGTAGGACTGATCGAGTAAGTGGTCCATAACCATGGTAGGTTCTCCAACTGGGTTGTTCAATTTATATCAATTTATATATTATTATAGTGGACCATGACCTCAAGCAGTGTCATATACACCATTTAGGTCGATAAGATAGGGATTCCCAGTATGGGTCAGTTCATAACCCCAAATAAACCAGGTAGGCCGATAACTCGTGCTATATCTAACTATATAACACTCCTCAAAAAGATAAAGTGAACAGTAATTGCACAATATTTTGGGATTGGAGTTCACTAAATCCTATTCAACTTCTATTCAACTCTCAGGGGTCGTTATGATTACAGGAACCGGGGCCCACGGTTCGGCCCAAGCCGCTGCCTCGTTACTGGGAGACATGCTCAGCGAGTTGCCTGTCGGCGTTCAAGCATTTTTTCAAGCACAACAAAATGGGATTTCATTGGATTTTAACAAGAACAATGGTGATATACAAGTCTTCAACCAAGAAACATGGTATTTGAACATATAAAACATATAACCAAGATGTGTCAACATTAAGCAACCATTTTATGGTCACTAATATAGGCACATGACAATGGTGACAGGTCGCATAGCAAACAGGTCACCATCATCCCAAAAGATCTGGGATTCGAAGCAAACTGAAGTCACATAGGGACGATTCCTTCTTTTTTTGTACCCCAACATGTGTTTGTATATTTATATATGATTATATACTATAATGTATGTAAACACAGTAAAATATATATATAATACACATACATATTGTATATGGTATATAATATATCATATCTATTAATATATATATATATCATATCTATTAATATATATATATATGTATGTATATATATATATATTATATTATATATTTTATTATATACTATATTATACATAATCATAATACTATATATATACAGTACATATTAAATTATATATGTGTATATATTAAATTAAATATAGTATATATGATATTACTATAAACTATATTATATTATATCATATAATATAATATTTTATTAAACTATATCGATTAAATTAAATTTTATTGTCTTATATTATATTATATTATAGTATATTATATTATAGTATATTATTTTAAATATTATATAAAATAATACATATATATATATATACATACGTATATATATATATATATATATATCACTATAAATCACATATATATATATATATACATACATATATATATATATATACGTATATATATATATATATGTATATATATATATCTGTTTTTGAACTGTTTAAAATCACCAACCAGCCACTGAAACTCCACCATTAGGCGCACCTGGAAAGCCAAAGTCCTGCCCGGAAGAAATGGCCATGGTCACGTGCCTGGGAGACTTGCGATTCGTTTGATGACCCTACAAGGATGACTCATGGGTATGCCCCACAAAGCCTGGGATATAACATGATAACCCATGTAGCTATGGCATCATATGGCATCTATGTAGGATGATGTCATCTACTTGCTAATCTTAGGATCCGATTAAAAACGCTCCCTCATTTTTTGGGGGGGCAGACCCATCTTTTCTTGTTGTATTTGTTTTCAATTGCACCTCTTTACTTTTAGTATTATTCGATAATGTTGTTGGTCATGAAAACCCCCCTTAATAATATAAAATGTCTAGGCCGAGCCTTTTTTTGTATTGGTTTTCAGTTGCGCCCTTTTACTTTTAGTCTTCGGCAAATGGTTCGGCGCCGCATTTCGTTTTTGGCCGCAGCTGGTTTCACCTGTCGCTGCTCATCGTTGGGCCCCGGTCACCATATGCTGGAAGCAAAAATCGTCTGCTGGCCTTTGTCACCAAGTGATCGTCAGAACCCTGGGAGTCAAGACAAGCTCCCAACCGCACTGAAATATGTTGTAGTTCAGGAAATCCGAAAGCCAGTCTGAGACTTGACCAGCAATGCCACTGACGGTAGACTGGGAAGAGGAGCCCATAACACAGGGGATAAACCCATGTTCCTTTGGAACATGTTAGAGAGGTAAGTTGTGCTCGATAACTGGGATTTGGGTTATTTTTCTGTTCTCTGCACAAAGGCCCCAGCAAACAGCCATAGATAACCCCTTACTTTGATCGTTGTTGCCGCTTCAACCCATTGAGCCATAGGAAGCATCGCAAAACCACCAATTTATGGTGGATTTAGATTGTTGACGACACGAGTCACTAGTCTCTGTTTTACAATATCCTTGAACTATGCCAACGAGAGTGTAGTCTTTAGACCGTCATTCTTGTCGGTACAAGAAAAACATATCTTGGGTAGGTAGCCACCACCCTTTCTGATATGCTACAGATGCAAATGTTCACTCGTTTGTGAAATTCCACTCTTCTGTTGGTTCATCCCCCAGCTTGATAGACTAAATCTTCATTACAGTATGTGTTGATAGCAATCATTAAGCATCAAGATGTTCTGCTGGCTTGGATTTGCTTTGGGGGTCCCAAACATGAACATATTCTCGATAAATTCCCCAGTCATAGTGGGTTTCCCATTGGAAAAAGTATGACTTCCACTACCAGGCTGGTGAAATAGTGGGTAAACCATTGGGAAATACAAATGACATACCTTTGATTTCACAAGTTTCCTTCGACATAATTATATGGTTTCTATTTTCCATTGGGTAGGTACCTGGACCATCGGTTTGTACCCATAAAAATAGGTGTTCTATGGTGTTCTACCCCGCAACTAATTCGTACTTTAACCATTTTTTGGATGTTTGGAGGGTATACAATCTGTCCCCCCTCAGCTGTAAGTTGCTTTATAGATTATAAACCGCGGTAACTATAGTTAGAATTAGTTAGAGTACCATAAATAACCATCGTTATTAGAGTTAGCTATCGTTTGGGGGCCCCACATTGTCCAGGTATGTACAAGTAAATCAAATGGGCCATAGGTAAAATGACACCCACAAGATATTCCCATGATATGACCATCTCATTGGATCCAAGGCACGGTGATTGCGCCACTGAGGGTGCCATGGAGGGTGCGCAGGAGGCGGCAATGGACATGGTATCGAAGACGCCGCCTTGTTTTGTGTGGAGCTGGGTGGGAAGTTCCAAAAAACAAAGGTAATCATAGTGATATAGTGATCATAATTGAATCGTAATGTGATTATAATGGTGATTATAATTACAATGGTGATTATAATGATTGTAATGGTGATTAAAGGTGATCATAATTGAATCATAATGGTGGTTATAATGGTGATCACAATGTTGATTAAAGGTGCTCATAATGATGATCGCAATGGTGATTAAAGGTTATCATAAATAGTGATCATAATGATGATTAAAGGTGATCATAAGGGTGATCACAATGGTGATTATAATACATTATAATTGTGATTATAATGGTGATTAATGTGATATTCATAGAATATTGATGGTATATAGGATGTTGATGGGACATTAACAGATATACCGTGGGAATTAAACATGCGTGCTGAAAGAGAGAAGGGATTACTATTCAAGCAGGAATGCTGGGACATCCTGGAGTTGGCTCAAAAACCTGATCAAAAAAAAGGTGCATCCACAGGTTGGAAACTTTTGAACGATCGCTCCAATATTTTTTGCGTGTCTAACCATAGTGAATCAGATGGTCCGATATATGCCAATATACAACCCAAATCGCCCAAATGCTCCAGATGTGTGGCCCAAAAATAGGGCTAGAATGGGCTAAGCAAAAACACCTTGGTTTGGCCATTAAAAAATATGTTTTTTTTAAAGTTTCTTCCAGGTCATGCCTCAATTGATCCATCATGACATCCTGGCCCTGGAGGCCCTGGCTAATGGTGCGTGTGCCCCGTTGTGGTGTGGGCGGTGACAAGAAGCACTCGCCTGGCACGGGGACTTGGATCATCCACTGAGATCACTGGGGAAGTGGGCCTCCCAAGTTGTTTTTTTTGGCGGGGATAACCTGGATAGCTGATTTCAGATGGTCACAAGAGATACTCACCAAGGTAAGTTTTGGTGGATTGAATTGGCACGTAAACGTGTAAACACTCCTTCGGGGAGATGTGAGTGTAGTGATTTGTCACTCAACTCATCCACATGTGATCATGCAGGTATCCACACCAAACATGGATGCCATGGGTCACGAAACTGGAAGATTGGGCGCTACGAAAACGTCGTTTTACGCAACATTGATCAAACAAGCAGGTGGCCTTGAAAGCTTTCAATGCTCAACATCCCCCTCATATATCCCAAAGTAATACTTCCCCACTGGCTGACACCTTCAGAGTAAAAGTTTGAATTAAGTCTCAGTTTTTGACAGAACATTAACTGGTTGGTGGTTTCAATCCCTCTAAAAAAATTGAAAGTCAGTTGGGGGGGATGACATTCCCAATATATAGAAAAATAAAAGCCATGTTCCAAACCACCAACCAGATCATTATTAACCACTATTAGCCACTATCAACCAGCATTATTCACCAGATTAATGGAACCCCTGAGGTCCACCTGGTCCAAGGATCTCCAGTTGTGAACTCATTTGACTCTCGGTCCTGAGATGGTTTCAGCGCCGTTAGCAACGAGGATCCGTTGTTTGGAAGAACAGAAAAGGATGGAGAAATTTAGAAAACCCTCCGAAAAACCTGTCTGGCCATGAAATTTATATAGATATATATTTAACCACTATTAACCACCATTATTAACCAACCAGATATATATATATATATATATATCCGAAGTGTGAACGATCCAGAATTGATGATGTTCTCGTGGCTAAACGTCATCCGAGAAGAGAATCAGTCGGTTCCAGTTGCATCCCAAGGATGTCAATATGACCATTTTTGTGGGCCCGTTGGTACCAAATTTTTGGAGCTATACCAATTCGACTTGTTCTCCAAATCGTGGACACTTCTGATAAATGTTCATCGTTTCTTGGTGTCGCCAGTTATCTTCAGATGAGTAAAACCTGGCATGTTTTGCTCACAATGTGGGGCCCAGTTCGAAGTTCGTTATCTACATTTATTTACCATAACTCATGGTCATTGGTAGACCCAGAGGGAACAACTCATGGACATCTCAGTCCTCTGGATACGACGGGCCACCTGGAGCACAGCTTGCCATGCCGAACATGTCGACTTTTAGGCATGGAAAAATTGGAAAACAGGATTTTTTTTACCACCCAAGAATTAGGATGTTATCAAGAAAAAAATAGTGATGCAACCCTGCGAAAATTTGGAGCTACACCGATTTACACCCAGCCAAAAGAAAGGAATTCGACTTGATTTGACCCGAACTAGAGAGATCACACCTGAAAGCTAACAAGATCACCAGCAACATGGCCAGTGTTCACATCTGTTCATAGTCAGCGCACAACGATCTCGCAGGCTGCTGCGGTCAACAAGATTCAAAAAGATTAAAGATCGTGCTTCATGAAGTGGCAAAGACTTTCTTGTGAAACTCGATCTCATGTGAAAAGCATTCCAGATCTGAAGAGAACGGTTCGATTTATACATATTTATACAGTTTGTCCTCCATGTCATGAAATTTGATCTCAGAATCCGCTTGTCTCGGCTCATCATGCCAGCTTTCACCTTCGCCTTGCATTTTATAAGTGAATGCCGGCACCTTTTCCAGCTCTCCATTCGCGAGCCAAGTTACGGTCGGACTGGTACTTGAAGTTGTACTTGTTTTTTACTCTTTACATCTCTTTACTTTTTGGCCAATTCGAGAATAGGTCAGCCAGTGCAGTTGAATCGCTTTTCCAAAAGCAAAGTGCAAACAAATCCAGTTGGCCTTCTAGTTTTCAACAGTTTTTCCTATACAATTGTTTCCGTTGTTGTTTGTTCCTCTTGCGAACGCACCTCACTCCCTGGCAACAACTCCCTTCTTACAAAGAGGAGTGGGATCGTTCTATAGTCTCACTTGATTCGAACCCCGATTAAACAAAACAGGGCCCGGCCCCATTCCAAAGCCGCAAAAAACTAACCAAAAATAAACGTACTACACACATATATATATATATACACATGTATGTATGTATGTATGTATGTATGTATGTATGTATGTATGTATGTATGTATGTATGTATGTTTTTATGTATTTATGTATGTATGTATGTATGTATGTATGTATGAATATATGTATGTATGTATGTATGTATGTATGTATGTATGTATGTATGTATGTATGTATGTATGTATGTATGTATGTATGTATGTATGTATGTATGTATGTATGTATGTATGTATGTATGTATGTATGTATGTATGTATGTATGTATGTATGTATGTATGTATGTATGTATGTATGTATGTATGTATGTATGTATGTATGTATGTATGTATGTATGTATGTATGTATGCATACATACATCCATGCATGCATGCATGCATGTATGTATGTATGTATGTGTGTGTATGTGTGTATGTGTGTATGTGTGTATGTGTGTATGTATGTATGTATGTATGTATGTATGTGTATGTATGCATACATTCATACATCCATCCATCCATCCATGCATGCATGCATGCATGTATGTATGTATGTATGTATGTGTGCATGTGTGTATGTGTGTATGTGTGTATGTATGTATGTATGTATGTATGCATGTATGTATGTATGTATTCCACAATTTATATGTGGGTTAAATATGGTTAAATTCCCAATATAGGGGTGTAACCAGTTTGAAACCTTGGAATAGATGTTGCGGTTTCCTGCCGCCTGTTTTTGCTGGTGCAAAATGCCCTGCGTCCGCAAACGGGCAACGTCACCTTATTTATCATATGTCCGACTTTGCTAATGATTGCAGGGTAGGTAAAGGAATATCGTGGCCTCTGAACTCCCTCGGATTTTGGCCATGTAGTCAACCATCCCACGATTGGATACTCCCCTAACTATATTCAAAAAATATATGGGTACATTTCCTTGATTATATCATATTATATCCAACATATTCCATATTGTTTGGTGTTTCTTTTGACATATATGTTATATAATCCAACAGGTCTTCTATAAATACATCTTATAGATGTAATTTGCCAACTGTTGTTGTTGTTGTTGTTGTTGTTGCTGTTGTTGAACCACCACATGCCACATTCCATGTCTAGCCCCTGGCCCAGTATTAGCCCGCCTCTGAACTAAGCTCCTCGGTCTCGGGATGTGGGCCCTGGCGGACATGTTGCGCCAACGGCCCTATGTATGTCATGGAATATATGTATGTGAAAAAATAATATAATCCATATATATATATATATGTTCATATTTTATTATATATATCATATTATATATTGATAATGATTCTCACAAAAAAAACATCAAGTACAGAGCATGTATAAGTATCTCTACATAAAATATAAAACATCACTATTGATATTTAGCTCAAGTCCCGCGGTTCAACCCATTTGGACATGGGTTTGATGGCTATGTCGAATGCTGGTGCAGGAGATCTGGATTCAGGAGTCCATCTTGTCTACAGGCAGCACAGACTGGAGATCTACAGTAGCCAAAGAACCATATATACCAAATAAAATAATGAGTTTTGACTCTTGAAACAAGAAAACAAACATAATCATCATCATAAAATATCATAAAACCAGTGTGTATTGGTTATACAATATACAGTTCCTCGCTGGTGACCAGTGACCACTTTTTCAAACACGTCACAGCACCTCTTCATCGATCACCGACTTCCAGGCACCGTGCTCCTGAGGTCATGGGTCAACATCAACTCCGCAACAAATCATGGAGATAGTGAACCAATTGATGTAACCTAAAAGAGATATAGCCCATATTAATAGCCTATGGAAAAGATGTAACCACTAGCAATAACCTATGAATTGATGAGGACAATTTGAGACGTAACCAATTGAAGCATAGAGATACTTTCAGGGAGAAAAACATGTGGCTGGTCAATTTATATGTTGGCAAAGGTCCTTTTCCACCAGAGGTTTCATGAAAATAGGGATACCCCCTATACCCCCTATTTTCATCTAAAATTAGACCATTCTAGTATTGAAACCGGTGACGACTGGGGATTGGCCCATGGATTTCCAATGGATTTCCTATCGATTTCCGACCAGCCCATTCTGCCATACCGCCGGGCAATGACCATGGTAGTGTCAAAAAATCAGGAAAAGTCACTTCTTGAGATCATCAACCGACAAGGCATGCCCAATTTTTTTAGGCTGCAACACTGAAGGAGACTCCCTGCTCAATTCCTTGACTTCTTTACTAACCTCTGTAAATGTCATTGAAACTGCTGTTGTTGCTTTCTAACAGCAAGGGTTCTAGCAACAGCTCCCACAGAACTATGTGGAGCCTTAACCTGCTTAACGTCGTGGTGGGCTGAAATCCAAAATAGTTGTCTAATTGTCTACTAAAATTGGTACCGCCCTGTTTTATTCATAAACTGGAGGCTTATGAATGCTGGGTTAACATCACTGTCTACACCCATCTCTTGCAAGTAGTTACAGTATACAATAGTATACATCTACCCTGCACTATAGTAAACCCAGCTACAAACCAGATGGTTTTGTTCACAGCACTATATCCAGTGCATCCAGTGCTACTCCATGATGTGACCCATAGCTGCCACTACCCATTGTTTAACCTTCCCCTGGCGTCATCGCCTTGATTTCTGCAAAGCGCGGCCTCGAACCTGCCCGTCTTCGGGAGGGAAATCACCGACCGAAATCAGGTGGTCAGCAACAAAAGTTGGGAAATTAACCAACAATAATGGAACTAGGCAGTGAAAGTAGGGAATGCAATGAAGAATCATGGTGATTTGAACGAACAAACAAACAAACCAACCAAACAAACCAAACAAACAAACATCCTCATCATCTTCTGGGATAAGTTTAAAAAGTTCCATATCCATTTCTTCTCATTCTACAAGTGAGCACGTCCCGCAGCCTCATGATATTCTGATCTGTACTTCACACTATTTTCATGCAAATGGCATGGCCCCAATGCCCATAAACCTCAACAAGATCAATGGCAGCACATACCTCTTATATACATCTATCTGGAGCTTGAAAAACAGTTTGAAGCATATTATCAATGGATTGGTTTAGTGGAAAATCTACCGGAAACCTCCATAATTGGTGCAGGTTAACCATGCTTTCCGGTAGATTTTCCCTTAAACCAAGCCATTGATATTTGATGGGACAGGGTCTAGCTATGTCTGCGGATCTACATCACCTTCTGACCAGCCCGAGGGCGCACCGGTCTCCGAATCCGAAGCTTGCGACCCAGAGGTCGTATCTGTGCGGAATCGGATGATGTGGGGGTATCCCAAACTGGCCATGGAAATTAACTGAGTGGTTAATACCTGATTACTGACATATATCCAGTCTGCCAGTTCTGTTTGGGGATATATATATATATATACATATAATGATACATATACTATATTAACCAATCACTTCATTTGTCCCAGGGCGTATCTAAGTATTGCTTTTGCCACCAGTCTCAGGAATATCTCGTTGACTTTTGCTGAAGTTCTAGTGAGGTCCAGATGAAAATGTCATGGACAGCTTTTCCGATTCTCTTCCTATGCTCAAGCATTGCAATGATGGAAAACCGCCGTGTTAAACATTGAAAAACCCATCGAAAGTGAATACATAGATACTTGTTGTCACAAGCAACGATGATCTTCATTTGTAGCGGTGAATTTCCCACTTGGAATTGGGATTTTCTGTTGCCAGGTTGGATAATCAGAGTCCTCAGTCTGCACAAGCCAGAGCTAAGTTCCCAGCGTCTTCTAGCCTCAAAGGTCAGCTATTCCGAGAAGGAAGGACATGTGAGATTTCGGCGTCTGCTGCAACTCTCGGAAGTGCTTCAATGGAATAATTACCTGACACCAATTGCTAGATATTTTAGATGTTTGAAAATATGTTGTTGTAGATAATCCCTCCAACCTTTTGAAACAAGCACACATGTGTACTGAAAACGAGGGATAATTGGTACTGAACATGTCCACGATCTGCGGTTCCCATTGAAAAGGATCGATCCAATCGAATCTCCCTGCTTTGGATTCACAAAGAGCATCATGATACCAATATCGCTGAAACCAATTGATGTCCAACATCTAGTACGTTTGTGTTTTAAAGGGCATCATTCAGTCACATCACTGGCTCAAATTAATGGTCACGTTCCATTCATTTCATTCCCCAAAAACAGTCTTGATTTTTGGTCATGACAACCCTTGTATGTACGCTGATCTCCACACAAATATATAGCTGCTACGTATGGATCTTCATATCCGCTTAATGTTAGGAAACTATAGGTATGTATATTAAATTATATTATATCATATCGTATCATACTATATCATATAATATTATTATATTATGTTATATTACATGATATTAAATTATATATTATACATGACAAAAATATATATATATATATATATAATATATATATATACCGTGTACCCATCCCTTTTTGTCAAAGCAGAAAACACTCCGTCCAATTGGCCGGGGGTGTCCGATTTATGTTTCCCTGGCCTCCCGGTTGCGTGACGCCTTTGCCTGGCGTGCAGGTCACTGGCAGTCACTCCGAGATGCTAAGTAGCTGCAGGTCCGACATGTACTTGGATAGCTTGGATAATCACTTGGTCAATTGCGATGGAAATTCATAGAAAGTCCACTTGGATAAACCATTCAATAAGATTGATGTGTGCTTTTTCAAAGCCTATTCATAAAGAATGTCTTGTCCATTTGAGGGTGTTAAAGACCTTCAAAGCATCAAACAATTGGATGTACATGAAATGGATTTCAATGGGCTTCTATGGATTTCAGAGCCTTACCAGAACTTGCCGGGTATTGGCAGGTATTCAAGTGATTTATCCCTTTGTGTTTAAACCCCTCATACTCATGGGGACGTCAAGACTATTCATACACCGCTTGTAACTATTGGCTATATTCACACCAATATAAAATCACTGTTGGGCAAAAACAATATTTGGGTAAAGACTGTGTGGTTTATTCTGTAGAACACAGGAACAGCGACCCAAAAAAAACAACCCCATATTGAATCATATTGAGATGTATGCTGGGTAAGCACTTCATTGTTGGATTCAATTGTATTGTTCATTATGTTTCCACGTTTTTTGCAGTTTTCTTGACTTGGGCATAGGTCGCAACAAACTGTCCGCCTTGATACTTTGTCGCTACCCAATTTTTGACCCCCCATGTTGCGCCTGAAGGCTGCTGAGCCGCATCACCGGGGAACCTGACACTGCGGGTCTACTCCAACAGCTATAGGTGTGTATATATATATATATACAACAATATATTATTATGCGTATTAACATGTAGTAACTACAGAAATAAATTTACATATATTTACAGTAGTTGAATTCAATACACATTATATCATTATACACATATCTGAATGATTCTGAATGCGTTTCCCTGCGGTAAAAAGACTCACGTCAAATACTGTAGACCCACTGTCAATATCAGCTGACAAAGAAGGGAGACCCACGCAGCTCCATACCAACTATAGCATCATCCCAAAGATGATCTCATGTGGCGTTTCTATCTGACATATGCTTCTGACCCTGTTGCTGAAAAAACATGTTTAATATAAAACTGAATGTGCTTGTGATAAAATATAGTGTATAATACCAGCTAATTATAAGCACTGTCACTGAATAATACACTATATACACTATATTATACCAACTAATAGACTCTACTATACACTCCAATTATTTTCTGCTAATCCAGGGGCCATTATTTTGGGCTCCACGGGCATAGCACCGAGCTCCGAGCCCATGGAGGACACCGTGAGCGCCTCAATCATGGGTGATCCATGACGTTAGTCATCACCTGGATGAATGATATGTATGTAATTATGAAATTCATTGTATATGTGTGCGATGTAACGATGTATATTAGTGTAACATATGTATATATGATATGTTATGATTATACATTCCCATGAAAAATACTGGCTGATGCACAGCAATGGACAAGTAGGCATTGCGGCAGAACCAACATGAAAGCAAGTTGGGAGCTCCCTCTAAGTCCATGCCTTTGCTACAATTCCAAAAAGCGATGTGAAAGGCAACAAGCTTCAATTTTTTTCTATCTGGTACAAAAACGTTTCTCAACACAGTCCAAATTTGTCCAGGTCAAATATACTTAAACATAGTTAAACATAGTTGCAGCACAGTTAAACACTATATTAAACCTTGATTCAACTACGATTTTCGTTGGTTCATTCCGGGGTGACTTCCCCGTAAAACACGGCCGAGGCACCGCCGCGGCCGCGGCGTCTTGTACCGCGTCGCGCACGTGCAGCCGCGCCGTGGCCACGTGGCTGCCGCGGCGCTCAGGGCTTCTGGGGGACCTGGGAGATCTCTGGGAAGTTAGGTTAACCATGGTTGATGATTAACCATTATTGGTTGACCATGGTTAATGATCATGATTAACCATTATTAATTAACCATGGTTAATTAACCCTGGTTAATGATTAACCATTATTAGTTGACCATGGTTAATGATCATGATTAACCATTATTAATTAACCATGGTTAATTAACCCTGGTTAATGATTAACCATTATTAGTTGACCATGGTTAATGATCATGATTAAACATTATTAATTAACCATGGTTAATTAACCATGGTTGATGATTAACCATTATTGGTTGACCATGGTTAATGATCATGATTAACCATTATTAATTAACCATGGTTAATTAACCCTGGTTAATGATTAACCATTATTAGTTGACCATGGTTAATGATCATGATTAACCAAAATTAATTAACCATGGTTAATTAACCCTCGTTAATGATTAACCATTATTGGTTGACCATGGTTAATGATCATGATTAACCATTATTAATTAACCATGGTTAATTAACCCTGGTTAATGATTAACCATTATTGGTTGACCATGGTTAATGATCATGATTAACCATTATTAATTAACCATGGTTAATTAACCCTGGTTAATGATTAACCATTATTGGTTGACCATGGTTAATGATCATGATTAACCATTATTAATTAACCATGGTTAATTAACCATGGTTAATGATTAACCATTATTGGTTGACCATGGTTAATGATCATGATTAACCATGATTAATTAACCATGGTTAATTAACCCTCGTTAATGATTAACCATTATTGGTTGACCATGGTTAATGATCATGATTAAACATTATTAATTAACCATGGTTAATTAACCCTGGTTAATGATTAACCATTATTGGTTGACCATGGTTAATGATCATGATTAACCATTATTAATTAACCATGGTTAATTAACCCTGGTTAATGATTAACCATTATTAGTTGACCATGGTTAATGATCATGATTAACCAAAATTAATTAACCATGGTTAATTAACCCTCGTTAATGATTAACCATTATTGGTTGACCATGGTTAATGATCATGATTAACCATTATTAATTAACCATGGTTAATTAACCCTGGTTAATGATTAACCATTATTGGTTGACCATGGTTAATGATCATGATTAACCATTATTAATTAACCATGGTTAATTAACCATGGTTAATGATTAACCATTATTGGTTGACCATGGTTAATGATCATGATTAACCATGATTAATTAACCATGGTTAATTAACCCTCGTTAATGATTAACCATTATTGGTTGACCATGGTTAATGATCATGATTAAACATTATTAATTAACCATGGTTAATTAACCCTGGTTAATGATTAACCATTATTGGTTGACCATGGTTAATGATCATGATTAACCATTATTAATTAACCATGGTTAATTAACCCTGGTTAATGATTAACCATTATTAGTTGACCATGGTTAATGATCATGATTAACCATGATTAATTAACCATGGTTAATTAACCCTGGTTAATGATTAACCATTATTAGTTGACCATGGTTAATGATCATGATTAACCATTATTAATTAACCATTATTAATTAACCATGGTTAATTAACCCTGGTTAATGATTAACCATTATTGGTTGACCATGGTTAATGATCATGATTAACATTTATTAATTAACCATGGTTAATTAACCCTCGTTAATGATTAACCATTATTAGATGACCATGGTTAATGATCATGATTAACAATTATTAATCAACCATGGTTAATTAACCTTGGTTAATGATTAACCATTATTAGTTGACCATGGTTAATGATCATGATTAACCATTATTAATTAACCATATTAACCCTGGCTAATTTAATGATTAACCATTATTAGTTGACCATGGCTAATTAATCATGGTTAACCATAATTTCTAGGGGACCTGGGATTAGATTATCCAAAGGAACCATGGCGAAGTAGTTTGCATGGGATAATCTTCGATGGATCGGTGGGAAAAGCCACAGGAACCATATTGGCAACTGTGGTTTTGACCTTAGTATCCATCAAGTTACTGGGAAATGTACTTACAATATCTTACAATATCTTACAATATCTTACAAAATCGTACAATATCTTACAATATCTTACAATTCCCATATGCTGGTGCTGCTATATTTACGTAGATAACTGGGTCATTGTTTGGGGTGAATGCTAGTAAATACTCCATACATGGAGCAGTGGGGATTGGAAGATCTTCGCGTTCATGTCCGAAAACATATGAGCTATAATATTATATAATGCTATATATGTTGTTCAACCAGGTCTTGTGGACACACATTTGGAATAAATTGAAACAACATAGCAAACACATTGACATGTAGGATATTGATGGATACCAAATGATACCAGCAGTGTTCTTTTTTTCTAAGACATTCGGAATACCTGACAAGGACCATCACTTCGTGTTTGACAACCAGCTTCGACCCAAGAACCACATGAGTTTCTGATATCGCTGGACGATTGCCTGTAGTGGTTGCTGGACATGATTATTGTATATATATATATATTACATATTATATATATATATATGTACGGATATATATATATATATATCTTTATATATCATTGTATATGATTGTAGGGATATGCTTTATACTTGTAGTTTGAAGCTGTAATACTCCAAATTGACCAACAAATGTCTATGCGCAACTTTCAACTGATCGTTTACCAATATTTAGATTGGTAATCTCCCGCTAATACCACAGTTTTGTTGGCTACGATACATCCGTGGATGGTGCATTTCAACCAGGCATTTCAACCAGGCATCTTATGGGATTCATACCATGGATAATCTTAGATACTTAGCAAACAAACAAAAACTGGATCAATGACAATAGATTAGTATCTAAGATGCCAAATAAGTACAATATCATGATACTACCTAGTAAGCGTATATTTAAAGCAATAGATTAGTACTTCCTTCTTCAGGTAGCCATCCAAGGGTCTTGACAGCCGCTCTGGGGCTCCCCTGCACAGAATGAGAAGAGGGATGTATCCCTGACAGCACCTGCCATGGACTCTCCCCTATGAGAGATGGCGCCAATATGGTGCCATGGACTCCCTCCATGCGGTAGTGAAATGGCGCATATGATGAAAAAGTACCTGGCAGCCATTTTTAGCAATGCTGCCTAACCATCCATATATGTTGATGTATATTGTATAACTTCATGCCACCCATAAAATTGGTAAAGTTTGGGATGGTGAATCCTATTACTTTACTAACATCAATATGGGTGTTTCTTAAAATGGAGGATCCCTCCAAACCATGGGTTTCAATACCCACATGGTCTAATTTTGGATGATTTGGGGGGGTACACCCATTTTAGGAAATCTCCACATGGACTTCAGCAAGTTTTCAAAATGGCATTGGTCAAGGGTTGCTATTCCCAGTGGGAATCCACCCAGGTGAGCAGGCCGAGCACCTCACCTCAAACCGAACAAAACCTCCTATAACTCAGTCATTTCAAACATGTTCCATGTTTCGGTTAAACAAATCCAATCTTTGAATCCCCATGTTGATTCACATCCCATCCTTGGTTGATGGAGAACTTTGGGAAGAAATAACACGGCGCGCAAATCATCAGTTGTATGTGTTTTCTCTCTCGAGGGCCCATTCTTGTTATTACAATTTCCTTTTTTGTTGATGGTTTCAAGCCATTTCACAACATCAAATAGTCGTGCAGACGTGCTTATCATCCCATGTCGTCATGGGTAGACCAATGACCAAGTTGAAATCACCAATGGACCAACCAGAAATTGAACATCCTCTATAAATGGTGTTGTCATAAGCTGCATATGTGACAGGATATCACACCATTAGATGTGAAATGAGCCAAACTCGTGGCCCAGTCAGTTCACGGTGCACCTCTGAACCGTTCCTTGCTACCTGGACAGCCCATGGGAGTTGGGGCTGGGGTGGTTTCCTGCGTTTCATAGGGATGTGACCAAGGGCTGCTAGCCCCAGCAGCCCGGCGCTTGTGGCTATGATTGACCTGCAATAGCTTGGAGTAGCCATGACAATGGCAGAGTAAGGTAGTAGACCCAATGCCATAAACCATCCATCAAAGGGTGTCGTTTAATCGTCAGCTACGGGAGATAACATGAGATACCTCATCCCATGTGTATAAATAATATGTATCTATACATCTTCTGGAATGAACCATTTCAGAGTGAATCCGCAAAGTAAAACACTCCAACATCTATTCTAGACAAGTTGATGCACACAATCTGGTTGATGCTTTCAATAATTATCCTAAATATGCCTTCTGAAATGCAATGAAGATGTTTGAAGATTGAAGTAAAACGCTGCTTGACAACATCCAGCAGAACATGGAGCACATGGAGCACATGGAGCACATGGACACTGGACAGCACCCATCCCAACAATGCACCTGGCTCACAGCCGAGTCTTCGCTCACCCTGCGCTGGACCACATGACCAGAATGGTTCCCTTTGTAACCAGAATCCCCGGAATTTCCGGAATGGATCGGAATGGTAAATCTGTGTAACCAGAATGAAACACCTGGCTATTGGACAGAGAAACTCATTGAATTACTCTCATTTATTTCTGGTGAGGATTTTCGGTGTTTTACATACTTCAGCGATAATACATTTATTTATTGGTGAGGAAAGAGGTACCTCTAACGGCGGAAGGTTCATCAGATCCATCAATCCCTTGCAATTCAGTGACAACTAGGCAACCAACCAAAAAAAACATGAAACAAAACATGAAGTAACATCTGGATGCTTTCCCAGAAATCTAACGAGATTGGCAGTGAAAATGATGTCACCAACCGCATCTGACATACGCGATGGATCTTCAAGGATCATTCAAATCCGCTGACATTTGGGCAAAACTGAGCCCATCTGAGCCCCCACTTCTGGCCACTTCTAAGCAATTAAAACCGTCTTCCAAGCGCATCTTCAGCGAGTTTCCTTAAGGTAACTATCAGCTTTCGGGGTATCGTCCTATCTTCACTGCACCAGCTGGGTGTCCCGGCATCTTTGGAAAAGCAAACTCGGAGAAGTTGGCATAAGAGGCCTGGAAACATGGGAGAGCATGCCAGAACATCGCGACTGTTGTTACAGCACAACCACCGGTTTTAACCACAGGTGATTGAAAAGGGGGTTTTATACTAGGGGCAAACCACTTAAATATACTTTAGGAACATCATCCATCTAATTTTCGGATTTCCATGACATAAACCATCCAGCTACTGGGCACCTGATCCACTTCCGAGGCGGCCTTCCGGTCGTTGGTGGATGGCCTGAAAACGGCACGGCACCGTGCTTGTTGCGCGGGGAGCAGCAGGAACATACAGAGCACCTAGATGTAGAACTATGATGGGATATATTCTGGGATGTAAAAACTAGTTTGTTGAGTTTGTTGTTGTTTGTTTTCCATGTTTATGATATGAGTATACATAAGTATCAAATACGATTATAGTATATTATAATAGCACTTACATGTTTGTACAACCAGAAACATGCCATAGAGGCAATTTCCTTTTTCATGGATGGCATAATTTCATGTAATGCGATGTAGCCAATTTTCATGGGAATGCATATACTCCTGCTATGTTATGAATATGTACTGTAGCGTGCAATAGCGTTTATCCCAATTGAGTCATATATAAACGGGTATATCCCACATATAGATACATGCAAGAGGTTTATAGTCCAAAATACAGATATCAAGCTGGATGCACATCAAAGCACCCTCTTCAATTGATTCTAAGCTCAGATATGTTCAGATGATATAGATGTTCATATTCTACCCTAGCAATTGAACACACAATATGCAAAGTCTGGAAAATCACAGTTTGCCTGAAAATAGGCTACCCGGCTACCCCTCAATCCCCTGGCCAATCATCACTGGTTTAACCATCTTGAAAAATATGAAAGTCAATGGGGTTGGGATTATCCCATTATATTATGGAACATAAAAGCCATGCTTGAAACCACCAACCAGTGATTATTAACCGTTATTAACCATTATTAACCATTATTAACCATTATTAACCATCATTAACCATTATTAACCATCATTAACCATTATTAACCATCATTAACCATTATTAACCATCATTAACCATTATTAACCATCATTAACCATTATTAACCAGATTATGTCCTTATTAGGATCACTATTTGGGAGACGACACCTTCAGAGACACCTATCGCCCCCGCCCTGGGTGTCCGCTCGAAACGTCCATCTGGACCTCACCTGGCGCTTTGGCCCACTTTCTATTGTGTCATGCTATGTGCTTTCCAGTAAGTCATCAATCTGCGAGGATGTGTATATATATATATATACATACATATATATATATAATTATATATATATAATTATATATATATACACCTATAAATATATATTATATATAAGTGGGACTACATGGTTCTTGACCACTTCCCTCTCGCCGCCGGGAACCCCCAATCCACCGCTTTCGATGATCCAGCCGTCCAATCCCGGCCGCCGAAACCCGAAACTCGGGGCCACCTGAATTCAACTCATGCTCCTGCGGACACCAAAGGTACAAAATCTTGTGCTGATTGGACTGTTATAAATAGATGCATGTGGGAGTGAAAAGGTGAAAGTTGCCCATGCAAAACACATGGCAAAATAAGGACAACGCGTTCAAACTAATGGAACCAAAAAAACATGTATTTTCTCTTCTTCAAGCCTCGGTATTAGAGTTAAAAGCACCCTGACAATTTGAACCATGAAAAATACCCCTATCCCATCCAATTGTATTGGTTGGTTGGTAAGTATCCCTACTATGGTTACTATGGGTTGTCATAATCCCCCTAAACCGGGTAGAATCATCTTCAAGAACCTATCAACGGTATTTTTCCTATTCCACTAATATTCAACTCATATTTCATAACATATTCCTATTATACTATACCACATGTTTTGTCAGTTAAATCACAATAAAACCATACACAACCCCATATGTTTTGCTGGTTTAGAATCACAGTGGCTCTGCTTCTTCCCTAGCGACCACCAGTGGCTGATTTGGCATCTGCAGCTCTCCTATGAGAGGAGAATCATAATTTTCCCAGCCATAACTGAGAGGTATACCCCATCTTCAGATGCACATGATGAAAAACCAAATAGATCTGGTTGGTTAACGTACCCCTACGAAGGAACCCATGAAAATCCATTGAATCACCAGTTGATGGCTACATTGACATCGGAATGAACTCCCACGACTGAACCATGACTGTTGCAGCTCCTCATCAGAACTGTCCGGTGACAAAAAGTTCTCCTGAGTGCTGGGGCCTGCAAACCTCATGATGTTTTATACAATGGTGATATGTTGGGAATATTATGGGGATATTAGAACATATTAGTGAAGTATGCGATTAACAATCTCTGAGGATATGAGTATATTTGTATGTGTATATATATAATAATATATAATAATATATAATAATATATATATACATGTTGGTAAATAATGCGGAAATATATGGCCATATGATATCATAAACCTCTGGTGTCATCAGCTTCACGGCTGGACAATTCATGATATGTGTGGACCTGACCAAAGCTCTCTTCATTATGAACATGGGAACATCAGTGGTACCCTCTGGTAAACAAACATAGCTATTGAACATGGCCATTTATAGTGGGTTTACCAATTCCAAATGGCGATTTTCCATAGTTATGTTAGTTTACCAGAGGGTATGGTTTGGAGTTGCCCTTGTTTTTGGGGCAGACATGCAGATTCTATTTGCATGTTCCTCACGCCGACACCTTGAAGCCCGCTTCGGGGGACTCAGCATGAATTGTCGGCAGCCACTGCCCAGTTCGTCTGTCGTTGGCATGTTCAAATCATCTAAGTAATGACGTGTAAATACCGCATAAAGAGTGAACAGTTCCATGTTAATCTCTGAAATTGCCAAGATCGTGATTTTTGAGGTTAACCTGGACCATCCCGCACCAGAAACACCCCTCAATTAACATGGACAAAACATTTTTTTTAGATTTATTTTTGTCCATGTTATTTTGCCAGGGAGTAAATATTGGCGTTTCATCCCTGGGATCATCCCAAAACAGGAGCCGCCACTGGGCCATGGGGGTATACCATAACTCTGAACTCATCCAGAAACTTCCGCACCTTCATCTCATCATAGCCGTAGGTATCAACCTGGCGCTGACAAGGTTTATATGTTTATGAAATTCATTAGTGCTCGCTGTCAAAGAACGTTTATGTTATATGTGCCAATGGTTCTTCATTCATTCTGTATGGCTTTGGGCCAAAAAAAAGGTTGACCTCCACTGCCACAAGCGGCGCTGAGAGCCAACCCCATGTTTAAGCCCCGTCTGTGATAATTCAGAGTAAGGGTCATCAACACCACATTTTGATACCTACCCTCTTTCAATCATTATCTGTCATTATCTTTAATTATATTTCATTAATAGACAGTGACATTAATATATATTCTACATTCTTATCATGTCCCCATTGTTGTTTTGTGTTTACCGCTTCCAACATGTTCCTACATGTTCCTACCACAGTTCGTCCCGCAGCCTCTACTGAGGACCCAGAAGAGCTATTCCGAGAATGCGGAGTATCCCCTCCGACACCTGGGGTAGAAAACCGGGGGCCCGACATCCCAGTCTACCAGGGGTCAAGCATGGGCCAAAAGGTGCCAGAGGATGCCAGCGATACGTCGGGTTCGATACCAAATTCATCCAAATTCCAAGAAATTCTCAAGATGAAACCCATTGTCTTGTGGTGAGAGTAGGTGGGTTTGGTTGATTACGCATCTATTTTGGGGAACCACGGCACTCAGTGACGAGGAAAAATCTGCGGATAAGAACAGGGAAGTGTTACTTAGAATTGCTGTTTCTTCTCAGACACAATGCACCAAAAAAAACATATATGTCTGGGGAAAACTGGCCAGAATTCAAGACATTGGCAATAAATTACACGGAATTGAATTGCTTTGGAAAACTGGACCACTAATCAACATCGAACATCATTAGCACCTCGCTGAAGATTTGGGGGCGAACTTTCAAAAAACCGAGCTTCAGCTGCCCTGAAGGCCAACCGTCTGACTCACCACTGGTGGCTTTGAAATCCTGCCCTACAGTTAAAACCAGAAATACATAGAAATACCAGTTATTCTTATTAATCATGGGAGTGTCATTCCATAAATGGCAGTGTCACAGAACTGACTGGGAAAGGGCCTTCACTGTACTGCCCTCAACAATCAAGACCCATCATGATCCCTCATTTTCAGACACACCGCGTGTTGTTAATGATTTTATATCCCATAGCCCATATCTAATTATCTAATTACACTACTTATGTAGTATTGTATTGTTGACTATTTTATGTCCTATATAGATCTGAATAGTAATAGATCCGCTAATTATGTATGTATATATATATATGTATCTTATATCCACATTAAATCATATCCCATATTTGCTCCATTAGCTGTTGATGAAATCCCCGTCTTCAAACGCTTCCATAAACCTAGCCGTGCCTTCGCTCACGTGAGCGTCAAAAAGACCTACACCGAGGGGAACCGTTGCACCCCGAAAGCGTAACAAAACCACTCGTTTGGCAGGTGTTTACCCGTTTACCCTTCAGTGAATCGGGGAGAATGAAGTCTGAAATTCCAAAAATAAATGGTATAGCCGGTATAGCAACTCCCAAACAAGATGCAGGACAATGTCATTAAATCACTAGTTAAGGGGGTTTCCATAGTCCTGGGCTACCCAAATAGCTGGATGATTTCTGGAACATCTATATATATATATATATAATTATATTATATATATATAAATCTGGATAAGTTATAATATTTCACTAACCTGATATAAGGCCATTTGGGGATGATTTCCCTTACTAACCATGATTTCCAGTGAGGGTGAGGTCGTTTTACCCAGATGTTGACTCGAAAAAATTGTTTGGTTTATGGAACATCCATCATTAATCACCATGAAAACCATCATTAATCACCATAAACCCTATTATAATGCATGGTTTATCATGTAAACACCATCCTAAAATGGATGATTTGGGGCTAGCCATGTAGGAAAGCCGCCTGTACAGTCTGCAAGGATGCCCTGGACGGACTGGGCATCCTCCCCCAGCCTGAGTGACTCTGCTGTTCATGGTGTCTTGTTTAATGGAAATACATCTTAAACACATATGAAATAAGCACAATATTCATGGATGCCATACATATTGTGTATATATATATATATGTTTAAGACATTGTTTAAGTTACACATGTAATTATAGTATATGATATATATACACTAGAAATATAAGATATGCAATGATATGGCATACGAGTACAACCAACATGAAATACCTTGACAAATAATAGTATATGAATGTGTATGATACTGGAAATAAACAATGATAGTCAATGATAATCAATGATATGTGATATTATAAGCACAATATAAAAGGATTACATACATAATATATATATATATATATGATATTGATGTCATTAGACTAAATGATATACACTATAGAAATCAGATATATACAATGACATTATACATAAAACCAATATGATATACCTTGACATATAATAGCATATGATACACAGCATTCGCCAACTACGTATGATGCGGCCCTTCTGTCAAGAGAAAGTGCCCTGCAAAGAAGGCTCCAGATCTGCACATTCAATTGACAAAACAAGCAGTTCCAGTTAGTTTCATCCTCAATATTGAAACATATTGAAACACATTCACAATTCTGTACTTCAAATATCTCAGTAGGCTCCATACCGTCCATGCAGGTATGTACAGGAGTCTCCTGCACATGTTTAGGATGTGAATGTATATCTTCATTTGGCTGTGAAACAAATCTGGGAAGTTCACGGTACATAAATTGGATTATCCAATTATCCACCATGAATAGGGATTGAGTTTCTATGGCATGTCCTGATGCTGCAATGTCGAAATACATTGAATACATTTAGCGACTGCATATGTTTCCCCACTTCAGATCACATCACCAGGAAAACACTGCCTATAGAAGCTCATTAATACTTATAATATCTTATAAATTAAATTCTTATAATCCCCATGTAATTAACAAGTTGAATCATGTGAAATCCCCAGAGCGAAACGAACATCCTGGGTTACCAGGGCTTCAACAACACCGCCAGGAGATGCGCCGAGATCTCTGGGCTCGCGGTGGGCCCTCCGCTGGGCGAAAATTCGCTGGAACATTGCACTATATAGGTAGGCTGAAATTGGTTCAAAATGGGGGAAAACGACTAAAATTGCTTCAAACTGAGAACAACCACGGAAAACAACTGAGTCTGTGTGGCCAAACTGATTTAAATAGGCACTTTTTGTTGACTGAACAGTGCTGACATGTTCATATGTTTTTCTAGAACACCCACATGGACGGTGAAGCAATGAAGATCATCCAGAAAGACCATCCATTTATTCGAGGTAAATTGACTTATTGACCATCCAGTTACCATCCATTTACCTCTACAATTGACCATCCATTGACCTGGAACCTGAATCTTAAGGCCATTTGGGGAAGATTTCTCTTACTAACCATCATTCCCAAGGGAGAACAGTGAGGTCGTTATAGTTTACCCAGATTTTGACTCGAAAAAATGGTTTGGTTTATGGAACATCCATCATTAATCACCATGAAAACCATCATTAATCACCATAAACCCTGGGAACCCTATTATAATGCATGGTTTATCATTTACTGTATCATGTCTCCCCATGGTGTCCAGTGTGACCTGGACGGCTATAGCGCTGCAGCGCCGCCGTGAGGTAGCGCCGCGCCAAGAGAACTTGCCGCACGCGGGCCTCGCGACCTGGGGGGAAATGCATCGGAAAAGCGACCTGGGGATACGTTGGGACCATGAAAATAAATATTACACGGATGTAACAATCAACTATATCAACTATGGCAATATCAACTATGGTAATATCAACTATGGCAATATCAACTATGGTAATATCAACTATGGCAATATCAACTATGGTAATATCAACTATGGCAATATCAACTATGGTAATATCAACTATGGGAATATCAACTATGGTAATATCAACTATGGCAATATCAACTATGGTAATATCAACTATGGCAATATCAACTATGGTAATATCAACTATGGGAATATCAACTATGGTAATATCAACTATGGCAATATCAACTATGGTAATATCAACTATGGCAATATCAACTATGGTAATATCAACTATGGCAATATCAACTATGGTAATATCAACTATGGCAATATCAACTATGGTAATATCAACTATGGTAATATCAACTATGGTAATATCAACTATGGTAATATCAACTATCAACTATGGTAATATCAACTATGGTAATATCAACTATGGTAATATCAACTATATCATATGTAATCTTGAATGGTAATATCAACTATATCAACTATGGTAATATCAACTATGGTAATATCAACTATATCATATGTAATCTTGAATGGTAATATCAACTATATCAACTATGGCAATATCAACTATGGTAATATCAACTATGGCAATATCAACTATGGTAATATCAACTATGGCAATATCAACTATGGTAATATCAACTATGGTAATATCAACTATGGTAATATCAACTATATCATATGTAATCTTGAATGGTAATATCAACTATGGCAATATCAACTATGGTAATATCAACTATGGGAATATCAACTATGGTAATATCAACTATGGCAATATCAACTATGGTAATATCAACTATGGTAATATCAACTATGGTAATATCAACTATGGTAATATCAACTATATCATATGTAATCTTGAATGGTAATATCAACTATATCAACTATGGTAA